CCCCAATGAAATCTTTACTTTCCATCTTCTTTTCAGCAATTACCTTGGCCCGTAAGGCCTCTTCTTTATTGCAGTCCATCAAAAATCCAGATAATAAAACTTCAAAGCAAGCTTTCTGGTCAAGTGCATTAGAAAACGACTACATTTAATCTAACGTATCTGGGAACAACCTAACCAAACAACTAGGAGTCCATATAAACCTTCCAGCGCCTCACCAGTACCCAAAATACAATATTTGCACCCCAGATAAAACCTGCAGATTTTGCATAACTTACGGCTATTAGATTCTACATTGACCAACAGTTGTAAAAGAACCAAGGAGTCGTTTGCATTGCAAACAGAATTCAGAAGCCTCGATAGATATGTGGATGTTTCTATTTATTACAACCGGAGCAGTGCAATCACAATACTTATAAGTTGTAAGACGATTTATCAGTAAAAATGTTTTTCTTCATCTGTACAAATTAATAAAACCTTTTCTTCCATCATCTTCCAATCAGACTTAATCAAATTATCAAACAATAATAATAAGCTGTAACATGATTTATAAGTAAAAAGGTCCTTTTTTTCCATTTCTTTCTATGAGGGAGATCATCGGTCGTTCAGATCTTCAATAAAATCCAAACTGTTTCAGGCAGCCACAGATACAAAAAAGAAACAAATGTTACAAAGACATTAAAATAACCACCCCCCAAAAAAAAATCTTTTTAGGCTTCTATTCAACAGGAGGACGATAACTCGATGGTAAGGACGTCGAACAAGTTCAGCCACTTTCGGTCAGACTTTAGGCTCCACGAAAGACTAAGAAATAAAGGCGATACGCTTTATCAAAACTAGCCAAAAAAAAAAAAAATGTCAAAAACATTCAAGTCACAGAGGAAAAAAAAGGCCTGACTCATTCTCAAATGAAGAAACGTAAAACGACATCGCGGAAACATAAGTTTCACTTAAAAAACTTCAAGAGAAAAATCAGGAGCTATTGTGCCGTTACAGTTGAGAAAGGCCTATAAACAATGGCATTCTTTTTCCCGTTAAGACAGCACATTGGACAATATGAACATGCGTGTGCGAAGAAACTTTAAAACTACATTAGAACCCTAATTATAGCTAACCTAACAATTAAATCTCAAATGAACCCAAACCCAAAAAAGAAAAATAAACGGAACGATCTCGAGGCGAGTGGGAGAGAAAAAGTGTTGAAACGACCAGAGGAGTACTCACACTTCAGAGGGAACGGAAGGAGAAAACCGGTGGTCGAAGGTTCGGGAAGTGCCGGAGCTCAAACAGCAATTTTGACTTATTTCAGAAATGCTAAGGGCTCAGGCGCCAGCATATGTATCTTTGTCGAGCCGGAGCAGCGTCGGAGACCAAAATGAAGGCTTTAATGATGCAACCAGAGGTGCTAATTGAAAAAGCCCATGGGTCAGCTCAGCTCGACCCGTTCAACAATTTGGGCTCGTAATCATAATTTTACTTCAATTATTTTACTTGGGCCTCCATTATTTCATAGTTTGGGCTTGGACATCGGACAAGTGGGGTCTAATTTGTAACTAAAATTATGTAACTATTCATCTTTTATTACCAACAAATATTGGTTTAGTTGGTAAGAATACGACTCATATTTTATAGACGAACAAGTAAACACAAATTTAATTCTACTAATGATTCTTTGCTATGGTCAATCTCGATTATGATAGTTTCTTATGATCTAAGGACTTACAAATGAAGATGAAATCCACTTCTTTTTTTTTTTTTTGGTTTTGGTTTTTCTCTACTCATCTAGACGAAGTACTTCAGAGTGTCCAAATTCTTATTTGATAATAAGTCTTATTTGGTAATCATGCTTGAATTTTGATGAAGTGAGAATATGGATGGGAATGAGGCATTTAAATTGTACTACCTCCGATCTTAATTATAAGAGCTAATTGACTAATTTAAAAAGATTAAAGAAAGAAGTTAAGTTAGTTATTTGTAATAAATAAATGTTATTTTTTCTAAAATATCTTTGCTAATCAAGTGTATTGGCTAGAACTATCATTGTTAGGAGGACTATCTTGAAAAAAAATACACAAATATTAGACACAAAGTGGATTGAGGTCATATATTTAGGACAAAAATAAAAGTCAAACGAGATCTTAATTAAAGATCGGAGGTAGTATTTGGTATAGAGTAATATTTAAACATAATGCTTTCATTACTTTCATTTTATAATCAACATAAAATGTGAAAAATACTTTAATACCCTTGTCCTGATTCTCGAACTTTATCACTCTGCTCATTTTCACAAATCAGACAACTCGCCGTTCTCTATAATTAGAGGAAGAGGATTCGCAAAGAAAGAGGATGATTGAAGGAACAAAAAACTTCATCAATTGCACACAAACTCACCATCATATCGTCTGAGAAAAGGAGGCAACTCTAGATTAGACGGTGGGGGTAAGGGGGTGTCAAAGAAGAAAAGCAAAACAAGATATTAGTGAGATCTGATGACCTTAGTACACTACTAGTGTCTTTCTATGTTGTCATTCCTTTTTTATCAAGAGGATATGGAGAAAAAGGCATGGTGAAAAGCATAAAAGATAATGACAGCCCTTGAGGTTGGAGAAGGAGGGGACATGGCCGAAGAGACATAACAACAATAGAGAATGAAGACAAATACAACAGCAAGGTTAAAGAGCATGTAGCAGTGATAGAATTCCCAGCATCACCTCTCCTATAGTGTTTTCTGATCTCACGTACATGGAATTTACTATTTCCAAAGTAGCAATCATTTCCTCATATCAAATAATCTTTTTAGTGAGCCTTTTCAATCATAATCTCAATTCCAACTCCTGCTTCCTACCAAAAATAGGGCCTAAGGACTTATTCAGTATATGTACATTCTTGCCTATGGTATGACTGAAACCACCTTTTAAAAAAAAAGCTAAGTTTTGTTTTTTTTTAAATATACATTTCATTAAAAACCCCATATGAAAAATGAGTTAGTTTCTAGCACAAGATTGTTGTAAATATTGTACATGAGCGTGTTAAAGAAAGAGCCTCTCTAACATTCTTCCTCTTTTTGATGGATTTCTCTTTTTAATAGATAGACGCTTTTTTAGACATATCTTGTACCTACCTGTGACCTATAAAAAAGGAATGTTTGTCAAAGAAGAAGTAACCGCTCTTAAAGTGCTCGTGTACTTCTTTCTCCAATGAAATCTTCTTCTCTTTTCCGAGTTCTCTTACCTTTTGTTTGTCTGTTTGTTTTTTTTTTTTAATCACCGTGTGTTGTTATATAAGAGGGATCCATTTGCTCTAATTTATTGAGCAGTTGCAGAATATCTCTATAAAAAGAGTAACTAGTACATGACATATGATTAGTCTTTATAGATGTTGCCAACAAAGATCATCGTTGATCTCAAGTCATCATGACCATTTCTCCCCTCTCATCTCTGATTTCACATTTGTTGAGCAACTCAATCATTCACCTCCTCACCAGCCATTCTTGTATGAGCGTCGTCATGTTCAACATCATGACAACCTGGGTATAATTCATCGTGTTGAACCCTTTGTATATCATAATTGATAAATTACGCAAACTCCATGAACGGCGACATTGATGATGCGAAAGGATACAATTAGAGAGCAAAAATGGCTCTGGTTCTCGTCAAGGCCGGCTTGTGTTGGTGATGTTTGATTTGTGGAGTTTGATCATGGTGGTTCGAGGTCCTTGTTAGCTACTCCCTCCCCTTTCTCTCTCTCTCTAAAAATATAGTTCTTCTGCGATATTTTTCTTCTGGATTTTGCATCTTTCTGGTTTATTATCGTTTTCTTTTGATACACTGATTTCATGATATTCGACAGACTGGGTACATGATTCGTTTTATGAATCTATTGATTTCACAATTTTTATTTGATTTTTAAGATTAATGAAATTTCTTACGCGATGGAAAAGATGAAAATGAAATGAGGAAGAAGAATAACCAGGGGGAGGAGTCAAGTAATTCAATAACAAATTGAGCAAGAAAGATGATTTCGTCGTCATGATGAGAGCAAGGGCAATTTTGTCTTCTCACTTGTGTTTCATAACGGTGGGCGGGCCTTATCAGAGTTTTTCAAATTAAAATATGTTAATTTGTTCCGTGGGGTATTCTCCCACGGGCTTCATTGGTCCAATAAGCATGAGACTAGATTACTTATTCCGTTTTTAATTTTGCCACAAACTTGGCCGAAAACGTTTTGTGACAATTTCAAACCGCTTTATATAGACTACGGGGCAAAGGCCCAACAATTTTCAAATAATCAAAATCAATACAAGTTTCTATTGAATTCTGTTAAAAATACACAAACTTTTGCTAAAAATAATTAGTTAATGTTAACAAAACTCAGAAAGGTTATGAATGATTCATATTTTTAAAATAAAGCAAATCTACATAATTTTAACAAAATTTATAAAATGCTTTTTATAAATTACTTCTGTTCTCAGAAGAAACTTATGTAACCGTTTTAAGAGGCGTATACTATAATTTGCTGTAACGTTTTCACCATTAAAATCATATACAATTTTATTTTCAAATAAAGTATTCAATAATTTAAATCGTTCGAAAATATTTTTGAATTTAACACGTCATGTATAATAGTTATTTAACGTTATTCACCAGTTGATAAGAAATGAAATTAATAGAAATAATGACATATAACAATTTCCCAAGGAGAGAATAAAATCTGTATAGTATATATACTATATAAGAATTTTTTTTCTTTTTCAGTTTTACCCTCCATTTAATGCCATAACATTTTAAATCTTACTACCCCATTTAATGCCCTCCATCTAACTGGGATATTATTGAAAACAAGCAATAATTATACCTTAAAATTTGAGAAAAGACAGTTGACAAAATGAAAATATAAATTAGGACAAGTAAATATGAACGGAGAAAGCAGCTTTCTTTGCTTTGGGTCTTATTTCCAAGTAATGAGGGTATGCAAAGGTCCAATTTTCATGGCAACTTAGAAAATTTAAAAATCTGCGACAGGAATGGGATTAAAAATATTAGAGAGAGAAGGTTTATGTTGGCAAAACATTTGCAATTGTCCAAGAACCCTTAATTTACAGTACAAGTAAATATTACTAAATGACAACATTTGTTCTAGCAGAAGACACTCTGAAAACTGCAGCAAATCTCTATGTACTAAAGCAAAAGTGGTATAACATTCAAATGGCCGCAAATTGTGGAAATTATTCTCTTTTTGATAAATGGGGCTTATTTGCAGGTTCCTCACAAGCCACATGCTCTGCCCCAAAACAATGGACGAAAGCGCTCCTGCCCAACCAGCCTCTTTGGGGTGTAATGGAAATCTCTACGCAAAAACCCTTGGCCTTTTCAGACTAGCATTATTGAACTCATCCTATTGCATAAACAGAGAAATTGAGAAAAAACCATTAGATATCAACCTAGTTAATAAGATCAGCGATCATTGCTCAAGAGAATGCGTTTGCGCATAAAATGCAGAAAATATAGGAAAATTTCCAAACAGATATCAGATACATCAATAGAGATAGCTGCATAAGAAGTAATGTGCATTATTTATTTTACAATGCTTCGTTGCGAGAGCATAAAGCTAATTAGTGCTCAAAAAGATAAAATCAAATCAATTTTCTCAGACTGTAGAAGTACATGGAACATGTCGTAGCATAACTGATCACAGGTAATTTAAAAGCCAGACACAATCATATCCACAACTAATTCCCATGTTAAAACAACATGTCAACCCAACTAGATCAAGCAGAAGACTAGAACTTGAAAACATGGTAAAACATGGTCAACGGTGGTTAAGTCTTGCGAACCTCATTAGTAGTCTGCCAAAACTTTTCTGAAAAGCTCCTTCGGTGCTGCGCATGCAAAATGAAGTCACATAAAGAAAATAAGACATCCAAACCAAAATCAAATAAAGTGAAGGGGGTTAATGGTGAAAAGGTGGATTGAACTTAGTTTGCTGAACCTACATATTCTACGTACCTGGCAAACCAGTAAATTTCTCATACTGTTCATAAGCCTGTCCTAATAACATCTCCAATCCTGTTACAATGGCAGCTCCTGACTCTTCAGCATCTTTCAATAGTCTTGTCATTTTGGGGGTGTAGACAGCATCAAAAACCAGGGAGTAATACTTCAAAGCATGCTGCAAACAAGTAATTTGAATAGATAGTTAGATTTGAGTTTCGGGCCTTCAACTGTGTTTATGTTCAATATCAAGAGATTTGGGTGCTTTTCCTGCTAAGCTTGAATGCTTAACTCATCCAGAACAGAAGACACCATGTCCCCAATATCTAAATGCCTGTAATTGCTCGCATTATGTTTATATAAATCACAATGAGTAAATTTCTTTTTATCACCACAAAGCTAAAAAGGTGCATTATTTATATTTATCTTTCTAGATGTCCATCAGAAAATTAGATTTCCGATGAGGCATCAGAAACTTCTTCGCATTTTTCTCTTCTTCAATAGATTTAAGAGAACTACTTCTAACTTGCCTAACATGGCCAGGTCACCATAAAATGAATTAAATTCTGCAAAATTATCAATTAAAGGAGTAGGGCTAGTCTCACTAGATTAGAAGACGACAAATTACAATCAACGGATATCATGCATGATACTTGAAGACAAAGATAACAGAAGTATGCATTTTCACAATCAATAACCATACTTTAGTAAAGCAAAAAGCTGATGTTGTTTAGAAAATTTTGGCCACATGTAGTACCAGACCACAGATAAGATTCAAAACTTCTGATAACAAGGTTGCAATGACCTAATTGATGCAAGAAAGCAGCATATCAAAGGGGTCAAACCTTAGAGATTGGTGTTTCATCAATTTTTGGTTGCATTCCGATTGATGTTGTGTTTGCTAGAATCATGCCATTCTCCGGGTGATAATTATCTAACTCAGCAAGGGTTAAAGCTTCTCCTCCAATCAGATTGGCAAGTTCTCTGGCACGATCTATGCATAAATAATACACCAGTCTAAATACAATCGAAGATAAGGAGGTAATAGATAGCAGCTGTGTTTGTAAGAAAAGCTACACGGTTAATGCAATATATAGGTTTCAGGGGCAAGAAACGTTGTGTTTTAGAGCAATATAAACTTGAAGACAAAACTTGTGATCGCACTTGGATAAAACAGTAGTATTAAAATCAAAGGAAATTAGGTACACCTCTTCAATAAGTAACGGAAGAGGAAAATCACAAGATCCAAGCTAATTCCGTCCAAAACACAACCAAAATAACACCAAACAGTCACAAGGGGACATAAACCAGGACAGGTCCTACTGCACTGACTTAGAGGTCAGGCTCTCTCCACACGCAGAGCAGAAATCGTGCTTATGTAATAGATCTGCACACAACCCTAAAAATGCACACCCTACCCTCATACATTTTCTCTTATTCAAGCGACATTGTTTTGTGACAATTGGTCCACTTTGGCCCTCTTGCTAAGGTCTTTGGGATAGTTCCTGTTATAAACTTGGCCCACTGTCCCCTTGGATCTATCAAGTTGAAAAGGATGAAATGTTGATATAAACTGTCTTTCTAAGCCCATGGTTTTAAGCCCTTCATACAAGAACTTTTTATTCGTCAAATAGAAATGCTAACAAGAAGCCCTCCATAGTCAAAACATTCAACTCATCAAATGGAAATGCCAACAAGAAGCTCTTCATACTAGAAGTTTTTTACTTATCAAATGGGATTACCAAGAAGAAGGTTTCCATTTTCACTCACTCTAGCTTACTCTCTCTCTCTTTCTCAACAACATAGTTGAAGAAGATACAGCGTTTCAAGCAGGACATTTGCATATTCTGAAGGTTACCATAGGTACGGTTGGCAATCACAACCCTTGCCCCCTTTTCTTTCGCACCATAAGCAAGTGCCTTCCCAGCACCACCAGCTCCAATCACAACAAAAAGCTTGCCAGCTAATGGTGAAGCGGCTGCCTTGCTATAATCCTCACCTGCCAAGAAATAATTGGAGTACATCTCATTGTCAATAGAATACTTATAAAAAGCAAAAACAATAGCAACAAGAAATGTTTAGTCAATAAATGTAACAAAGACCTCGTAGAACATCTTCAATGGAAGAAATGGCACCAACATAATCCGTATTATATCCAATCAACTTCCCATCAGTTGAACTCTTTACAATGCAATTCACAGCTCCTATTGACTGCACTCATATACAAAAACAGCAATAAACTAATCATACACTAATCCAAGACTGTCAGGTGTGGCTGTGCTTTATCATGTGGGATTACCTTAGCAATTGGGTCAACCACGTCACAGCATTTAAGTGCAGCTTCCTTGTGAGGAATGGTAACACTGAAATACAATTCTGATAAAGATCAAATTCTAGAAGGTCATGTGAGAGTCTAAACTATCTAGAACATTAAGGTAGATGGTACAGGAATGCTCATCTGCCTGCCTACCCACCCAACTTCAACAGACCACCAGCATGCCTGCATGAACATAATGTGTATGTATCGTGCATGCACGCATGCATGAATGGATAGAGTTCAATAGCATGACAATAGTGTAATAAAAGATGTATATTCCAACTAAAGCCCACTATGTGCAGGTTGGAAATTTGTTTTTAAAAAAAAAAAAGCCTCCAACTCTTAACAGTTGATGTAAGATAACATAAATCAAGAATAAAAAATTGCAAACTTAAGTCATTAGACCAACTTAAGGAAAGGCCAAAGAAGAATTCTGATCCCCATTGGCTTTGTCAAATCAATGTCAAGCCGATAGGATTAAAATGTTCGTCAGTATACTACTACTAGCAGAACCATCTTTTAGCAACCCCAAGCCGCAAAGAAAAAGGACTATATAAGCATCTTACTTATCATACAATATTACAGCCTTCTTCTGCAGACCCATGGAAAATGACTAGCAGTTAAGAGGATTTAGAAACTGATACCATGGTGTAACTACGGCAGCAAAACAAGCAGCATCAAAAATTAGATAACGGAAATTAATCTTCACAGTCTTAGAAAGGAGTCAGCACCTGAATCCAACAAAATCTGTGGATGAGTAAGTCTGGAGAAAGTTGGCAAGGTCATCGACCAGTAAATGAACGTACACAGCATCAAAACCTATTGATTTGAAGGCTTCATTATACAATAAGGGTGATTTGCTGTGGCCAACTGGCTTTCCAATAATGCCGAGTACTTTTGTATCTGGACCTACTTGTCTGAAATTGTATAGATTTAGCAGATCCTTAATAGTTGGTTGACCAGGAGCTGAAACTAGTCCGGCCTCAAGGGTGCCAAAAGTGAGATACCCACCAAATTTTGCACAAAGTATACGTGAAATTAAGCCCTTATCACCCATAGCAAGTGCAATAATTGGAACCTGAAAGTTTCATTAACTAAAATTTCTCATACATGAAATCAAACCCGAATTAGCTCTCTATCAATGACACAAAATTCAGCTCCTAACCAACTTTTAAGTATTTTTATCCTACAATAATTAATTACATTGATGTATTAGGTCAAAAACTCTATAAGAATTTAGAAGACAATCAATTCGGTCTTTATTCAGATAGTTGGCAATTTGACATGTTAGCAACAACAAAAGATTATTTTCAAAGTTGATCAAATTATATCTATCAACCAACAAAACCAACAAGAAGGCTTATCCCATTAGGGGCCAAAATTATACCTATCAACCATGGACCAAAATTTTACATACGCGGCTTACTTGAGAATGTGTTGTTATTTGAAAAATGCGTGCCACATCAGTGACATCCAAGGCAGTTGTTGCAAACTTCACGATGTCTGCCCCAGTTGCTTGTATCTCTGCCACAAGGTTGGCAAGATCCTCAACTGATGGAGTGTACTGGTAATTGTGTGATGAAACAATGACCTTGGATTTGTTGAGTTCCTTTCCACGTATGGAGTCATAGAACCGATGAGCAGCCTTTGGAGATCCAGAAGAAACCAAAAAGAAGTATCACTAATCTTTAGATTTCAGTTAGCAAATAACATGAAGACAGTATCTGGATTTGTCAAATGAGATGAAAGAGCTAAAATGTCTGGTAAGGATTAACGCTTGCCAGTTCACCACCTTATATCTCTACATGCTGCCTTGATCACCGATGTCAGAAAAAGTTAAAGGCATTTATTCAGCAGAAGAATTCCCAAAGAAAATCTTATTACCAGATGGGATACAGGTTTTTTACAGCATCATCAGGATGATTGACTGATTTATAAATCATGGAACTAGTAAACAGCATAGCTTATGAGGAATGGAAAGAATGGTATATATATCTTAAACAGAGCAAGTATTAATCAACTATAACTGTATTTAATCCATAGTTTACAGCACTAAATTAACCGAGTGACCAAACCATGATACTATAATCAGAAATTTGTTTTTTACTTGTATTTTTAGAATTACCAGATAAATTGAACTGACCAAACTTTTCAGCCTCTCCAGACAATTTCTCATAGCAAAGTTAAAAAAAAAAAAAAAAAAAAAGCAGGTTTGCATTGGAATGGTTTAGCTACATAATCGGATGAATCCTAACCTTAAGTTCAACGTCAATGTAATCAGCTCCTAACTCAATGGCTAATCGTAATGCATCCAATCGCTTGTTTTCATCACCATCATACATGCCACCTTCCCAGTTTGGCCTTGAGGAACATAAAGTCAGAGAGGTCAAGAAAACGAGAATCCCACATTTCAGCTAGCAATTTCATATTATAGTTACGATCTAGGAAGAACAAAAACAGCATCCACAGAGCACGGCAGAGAAATTAAAGCTTTCAATTTTAGATATTTGAAATTTAAAAAAATAAAGAAATGGATTCACTAAAAAAAAAGAAGGAGTAATTACCTTGACTCTGTACTACCAAGACATATAAATGAAGGCCTCCAAAAACTGTAATTAAAAGAAGATGTTGACTGACTCAAGTAAAACTACTACCATAAGTAACACCAATGCCCAAGCAAAATATGAGAGTGAATTTGGCTCTTGGCAAGTTGAGAATTTTCTGCACCTTAATAAGTCCATTTGCCTCGCATCCTTTTTTTTTTTTTTTTTTTTTGTTTTCTGAATACAAAAGTAAGGCTTTGTAGGGAACCTAGAGAGTTACCATCTCACATTTTAGCCAGAGAGTACAGAGAGCTTCTTAGGTAACCACAATTAAAAGAAGTCTGCAATGATACCGCTGCAAGTGACCACTAAGGAACTCTACGTATTCTCTTATCACAATAAAACTTAACGTCCTACTATTTAAATAGCTTTGGTCATTGTTACGCTAGTCCTTGGATTTCTCTATGTCCAGGAAAAGACAGTGAATTCGCCATCTAAACTGGTCATACCAATCAACTATCAGAAATAGCATACATCAGAAAAGCTACAAGAGTAATAGGAATCCATTTTGCCAAACCTATAGGTGAAAATTGCCGGTAAAGGACACTCTTTAATTAGAGAGTTCAAATCTTCAACATAGCTGAAGTTCTTCAAAGAGTCCAATCGTATTTCAACAAGGTCAGCATCACTAGCTTTAGCCTTGTGCATGTCAATCTTCATCTTGTCAACTGACTCTCCCATTATAGGGACACAAATTAAGGTTCCATTCTTCCTGGTTTCTTCACTTACCGTTTGACCGTAAGTAGAAGACGCAAGCTGTTAACCACCAAACCAAAAATGAAGAGACAATAATCATAAGACCAGCCATGATTATAAACAGCTAAACCCAAGTTTCTAAACATAGCCTAAGAACAAAGCATGCATTTAAAAAAAAAAAAGCAATTAAATTCACCGCAATTAAACCATCCATACCCAAACAACTCGGAAGATTTAATTTTCAGCAGATTTGGCAAAACAATGACATGCAAAGCAAAATCAACTTGGAAAGTTAAAAAAAAGAAATTGCTTCTCTAAACTCGCGGGCAGAAAATTAAATCATCTTCGCAACCAAACAGAAAAAACAGATAGAAAAGGAAGGGTGTGAGGGGGATGGGGTTACCTCCATTGCGCTTTGTTAGAAGATATGGAGTAGGCGGGGAAGCTGCACTGTGACGAATTTGTACACCTGTATACCTGGTGGCTCCTCGAGCGCGACAGTGATCTGTTTCACCAAGTTTTGGTGGTTGGTATCTGGAAAAAGTAAATCAATAGGGCAGGTGGTGGTAGGCAAAAACGAGGGATGCGCTCAGTGGAGCCACTACCAAGCTGCGAGTCGCTTTGCAAAAAAGTCAAGTTGCGTCAGCACCCCGTATTTTCTGAGATATATGGGAGTATTTGAATGAAACCAAATTATAATTTAAAAGATAATTTTTAGAAAATAGATTTTTAAAAGAATAGATTTTGTGAAAAGATAATTTTGATAAAATGAATGTGTTTAGATAGTTGTTATCAGAATCACTTTTTATATGTGCAAATTATTAAAAAAGACATAAGTTAATATGATAATTATATAAAAATAAATTTTATAATATATTTTAATTTGAAGAAATAAAATTGTTAATAATATATTTTTTACCAACATAATTTATAATATATAAGATAATGTAATTAATAATTAATTAATATGTGTATATACATTTATAAAATATAAGATTAAATATATTTATAGAAAAATAATTAAAGGGTGTTAAAGTCATTTTACTATTGGGATCTACTCTGACAAGCACAATCATACTTTCCAATTTGAACCATATCAAAATGAATTCACTTCTTTTAAAACTATGATTTTAAACCCAAAACTGTGGTTTACTGATTCCCCCTCCCAAACCATGGTTTTGGCCATTTGCCAAACAGGCCCGCAACCAGCACCCTAAAAATATTTTTTAGATGCATCCAGTATCATAAAATGTTTTTTGGTGCATCGAATATTTCAAAATATTTTTTTAGGTACGTTCAATACTCAAAGATATTTTTGGGTGTACCCGGCACTAAGACCAAAAAAATACTCCAGGATGTTAGGTACTACTAAAAAATATTTTAAAATACTGATGGACTGTAAAATATTTTAAAGTGTTGAATGTATCTGAAAAAATATTTCGAGGTGACACCTTAACCCTTACTAAAAACTGAAAATAAATGTTCCTAAGTATCTCTTGGGCAGTTGGGCTGTTACTAGGTAAACTCAGCACGCCTGTACATATGTGTGTGAATAAGAGTATAAATCAGGGCGTATCTAATGTGTTTCAACTTTTGAAGTCTAAATTGAAGTGCGACGTGACGGTTTAACGAGGTGGAGTGGAATAGAGATGGAATGCTATATTATTGAGAAGTTTATTAGGAGAACGAATGATTAAGTAAAATTATATTGGTTATAATTATGGTATTATCAATTATTGAAGTCCAAAATCAATATTGATTTTAGGGTAGGAAAAATGAGTTTATGATGGCTTGAAAAATGATTGGGAGGCCATTCAAGGATATTTTACTCTTTTAAATAATTCTCTCAAATAATAGTCTAAAATTTGAGAGAATCTCAAAAAATATTTTTAAATTACAAAATTTCAAATCAATCTTACTTGTTATACTTTAATATAGTTTAAAATTTTAAAGGTATTCTTTTTTTTTTTGAATTTTTCTTTAAAACTTCCAAATACTGCGCAAGCCTGAAACTTGTGCTCGTGCTTATTCAAGCTTCTTCTTTTTTTTTTTTTTTTTTGAATTCCTTCCTTTATTTTCATTTTTTTAATAATATACAAATCTTTCGTAGGAATTCAGAAACAAAAAACACTCGTCTTCGATGAAATATCTTTGAAATTATGCACACTTGTTATTTCGCCGAAAAAGAATTGACACCTCTTGAACCTAACAAGAAATTGAAATCAATATTTTCGAAGTCTTATTTAGATTACGTTTTCGTTTTACTGCATGCCCTACGTTTCTCATTCTTTGAGCTCCTACAAACAGCCGATGATAGTTTACTTCAAGAAAACTTGGAGACTGAAAAGCGATAATTTCTCAAACTGAACTCTCGTTTTTCTCTTATTCTGCATCCGAATCATTTATTAGGCTTTCCACGTCATAATCCAATTTCCAGCATATCCAGGGTGCTACTAGGATCATAATTCCTTTCAGAACACTGTCATTAACTTTAGTAATGCTATTATTTTGAACAAGATCCTCGGAGAAATTATAGACCCTTTACATCTGACAGACGATGACTGCCAGTATACATGTGAACTCATTCCTACATTAATAACTACAGGCAAATGAAATTACTCGGTAAATGCTAGATCTTCCGCTTTTGACAAGATACGACATATCTGTGCACAACTTCTAGAGATATATACACCCACACATTGTAATTAGTCAGCTTCATGTTCTTTTACTTCTGATACCCCTGAACTCTCCGCCAGCTCTTTCTCAGGCAAGCTCTGTGCATCATTATCACCCTCCAAGTCAGTTTCATGTTCTTTTACCTCTGATGCCACTGAACTCTCAGCCAGCTCTTTCTCAGGCAAGCTCTGCGCATTATTATCACCCTCCACTGCTGGGGAAGGGTGCGAAGATGGAATCCTGTTGTCTGGTGCTTCAGTGTTTACAACCTCCAAATCCGGTACAGTACCCCTTCCATCCCCAGTCACTGTGTGTTCTTCTGATTCCTGCTGGACACCTGTGCCGGCAGTGAGATCTTTCTCAGACATTCTTTCTTCGATTTCACCCTCTGCTGCAGAAGAACAAGGTTGGTCCATGTCTTCTAATGCATTTTCTTGCTTGCCATCATTGCCAATGTTTGCAACATCAGTTTCTGAACTTCCCACACGGTAACCCTCTGTTGCCGGGGAAGATGGAGGGGATGCGTGGTCTACTGACACTGTTGCTAGCACGTCCGCAAAACCCTCAGTAACATCCTTTCCATCAGTAGTATCTGCTTTAGATTCTGCTGATGCATTCTCTAGCATGAAATGATCAGCATTGTTTGTAACATCAACATCTGAGTTCACTTGATCACCCTCTGCAGCTGAACACGGAGACAAAACCCTGTCTGTCGATGCTGATGCTAGCATATCCAGATTAACTTCAGTAACAGGATTTCCATCAGTTATATCACCTTCAGATTCCTTCAACACATTTTCTGGTTGGACAGGACTGTTGTTGATCACTTCATCACTTTCCAAGCTCTCTACATGATTACCCTCTGCTGATGAAGGCTGTGGAGGTGAACCCCCACCCATTGATTCTGGAGCTAGCACATCAGAACAACCATTTGTGAAATCCTTTCCAATATCAGCATTAGATCCTTTTGACACCTCCATCCCCACTGCACAGTAATTTACACCCTTCTCAGATAAGCACCCATCTTTTTCACCTGAGGCTGAGGGACATGGAGTTCCTGATGCATTTCCCATCTCTGCTGCGCAGCTTTCAATAATATCTGCCTTATCCTTCATATCATGTTGTACTTCCGAAGTGCCTACTGGAACCTTCTCAGATAAGGCCTCCAACTCTTTTTGCCCCTCTCCTGTAGTGATGGTCAAAGTCAAAGCTTCACACCTCAATGTATCATCACCAACAGGTATTACGCCAACCTTCATTGCACATAGATGGGAGTCACAAATTAGAATTCAAGGAAATCACGAATCACATAACCAAATTTGACAGATAAGTCATCTCCCATTTGCCTAATTTACTGATTTCGAACATGTAATTCTATACGTGTAAAAAGTAATGTAAAAGTGCATTCTGAATTTTGCGAGGAGGAATGCTATTGCAGACAAGTGAATATGTACCAAGTCAGAGAAATGCTTATATTTAATTTGCTTTGCTCTCCACTAGTAGATGAACCCTTGAACTGGGATAATATGGTTTTACATAGATGAATGCCTCTCACTCAATAATCTTAAAATGAATGCATTTAAGCTTACTATTCAGACACAATACTTGGACTTGCACTGGTACAGTACAATTATAAATCTACTGACCTTTAATACTTGACATCAGGACGAAGTCCAAAGAATAACTTACCAGTGACTCATTCCTTTTTTCACCCATCTCAGCTTCAGAATTACTTGATTGCTGGGGTGGTAACGGATCATCACTGAGAGCCTACAAAGATGAATTTATGGAGGTATCATTACCGTGACATGTATGCTAATAACCAATAGGTGAAATATAGCTTACCATAGTAGCATCCCCACATGTCTCCTCTCCTGTCAGACCAGCTTCTGGTTTCCCTGGCGCTTCTGAGCTGCAAGGAGGTCCCATATCATATGGTACATCAACATGCTCAGTCGCCATGGAAGATGAAGGTATGTCCATTTCCTGGGCTACTGATGGATCAGTAATGGGAGCCTGCCAAAATGAATTCATCAAGTTATATGGATAATAACCATGCCAAAATACTAATGGGCCATAAGTGCAAAACAGCGTACCATAGTGGCATCCCTACACTGCTCTTCTCCTGTCACCCAGCTTTTAGATTCCCTTGGTGTTAGAGAAGTGCTGGGAGGTTCCTTATCATTTGACCCATCAATCTCCATGGAAGATGAAGGTACTTCCATGTTTCTCAATTCAAGTTTTTCTGGCTTATTTCCAGCAACATGAGTTAGTTCCATTTGATCATCCATTTCAGCTCCAGAATAACATAACTCCTGGGGGGGTAACGGATTTGTAACAAGATCCTGAATAAATGAAGTCATTAAGTAAAGGGGTAAAAGAAGGGATATGCTACTAGCAAATAGGTGCAAAATGGCTTACTGCAGTCGCATCCCTTCTATTCCCCTCTCCAGTCAAGCCTTTTGGCTCCACCACTGCTACTGGACTGCATGGAGGCTCCTGATCATATGACACATCCTTCTTACTTTCCTCAATCTCCATAGGAAGCCCATAATCTTTCTTACTTTCCTCAATCTTCACGGGAAGCACATCATCATTTATCAATTCAGGTTTTTCAGGTTTATCAGCCATTTCAACTCTAGTATTTTGTGATTCTTGGGGCAGTAAAGGAATCATCATGTGACCCTGCAGAAATAAATTCATGAAGTAAATTAAGGGATAAGTGCTGTGCCACATATGCCAATACCCAATGGATGCAGGATGGCTTACCACAATGGCATCCCCACAATTCTCTTCGTCAATCAAACTATCTTCAGGTTCACGTGTTTCTACTGAACCGCAAAGAGGACTCTTACCAGATGAGAAATCATTCTCACTTTCCTCAGCCCCTAAGGAAGGAGAAGGTACATCTGCATTTCCGAAAGACTTCTCGGGATTAGTTCCGGCAACCTGAGATGATTCTGGTTGATCCTCTATCTTAGAATTGCGGAGGCCTGATTCCTGCACTTGTGATGGTTTTGTAACGGAACCCTGCAGAAATGAATTTATTGAAGAAAGTGAAGCAATAGTTGCTAGGCCTATACACTTATAGGTACCGACATACCTCAGCAGCATGTCTTTGACTCTTTCCACCATCCAGACGATCTTTTAGTTCCCCACCACCCAGTGCATCGGAGAGTTGACCTTTATGATAAGGGGCATCAGTCTTATCTTGCATCATATCCAAGGAAGACACATTCAAGTTTTGAGGCGCATGTTTCTCTGGATCAAGCCCAGTAACCTGATCTATCTCCATTTCATTGCTCATCTCAGCCTCAACGTAATCTGGTTTCCGTTGAGGTGATGTAGTTGGTGTAGAACACTGCAGGTATCAAATCATAATGCAAATTAGAGGGACAACGAGGCAAAGCAAATATGCCTAATAGATGCTCAAGAACCTACCTCAGGGCTTCCCTGTAACTCTCATCCAGAGTTGACAAGTTTCTCGACTCCTCTGGCATTGGTGGACTGCTGCACTGAGGAACCTGATTAGAAGACGCAGCAATCTTATCCTCATTCGTCAACAAGGAAGATGAAGGGGCATCCATCATTTTGAAAGCATCTTGTTCTGGATCAACATCCAGAGACTTAGAGGCCTCCTTTTCATCACAAATTTCAAGCTTAAAATCTTTTACTTCTTTCACTGAAGGCATTATATTGATTTCTAACCCTGCATTTTGTGGCAAAATATCACCAGCTTGCAAACTAGCATTGTAATTACTCTGATCCACCTTCGAGCCATCCATACCCTCATGGGAGACAGATCTCACAACTGAATTATTATCAAATGATACAACTTCTTGTTCTTTATCTTTCACTTGTGAAGGAATAGAATCTATCACAGTTTCAACTACATCAACCTGAGAAACTTCCTTTTTATCACCTAGAGTATCAGAGCACTTTGGTAACCCTAGAGTTGAAGCTTGAGAACCATCATCAGACAAACAAGCAACCCTCTCTTCCTTACTCCCCATGAGAGACGAAGGCAAACACAAGTTCATTGATGTTTCATCTCCAGAAAGAGCATCACCATCCTGAGTAATATTTCCACTGCCCGCCTCAATTTTAGAATCCTTTAATTCATCCAATGGTAATACACTGCTTGATTGGATACCTGTGATAGAACCTGCTAATTTTTCTTTATTTTCCATCAAACAGGAAGAAGAAACATTTAAATCTTCTTGTGAAATCTTACAATCTTCATGCAATACATGACCATCAGATGAGTCCATCTGAACATTAGTATCAGCTATCGAAACTTTTGTTTCCTCCGGAGCTACAGAGCTGTTGTGCAAATCCTCCTCCATTGACTCTTCCAAAGGTTCTGAATCCTTCACTAGATTCATTTCAGATGATGTCCTATTTTCCTCTTGCACCAAGGATGATGAGGGCAGAACTGCAGAGTCAGATGTAATGTCAGCCACAATATCCCCAACCTGAGAAACACCCACAGAATCATTCACTATATCTTCTGACACAGACGATTGTAATTTCTCTTCCTCAGTTTTTTTACTAGACGTTGTACTCTTGGGAAGATCACCATCCTGAAAAACAACCACAGAATCATCAACAGCAGCTTCCAACCCTGAAGGCTGTGACACCATTGCCGTATCAATAGGATCCTCATGGGCATGGTCTTTAAGTTTTTCTTCCTCATTAACAAAAGAAGACGACATATCTATGCTTGATGCGTTCTCAGGCACAATTTCCTTGACCGGAGAAACATTAATTCTTTTACTGTCAAATGTATCTGTTTCCATGTCACTATTGGTAGGATTGGCAACAACTGCTTGCAACTGCTCACATTTGTCATCCCATTCCTCCACTTTTTCCTCACAGAAGGGTTCTAAGTGGCCCTCCAAAGGTTGAGTCTCATGCAAATTGAAACCATCAGTGGATGACGTAGGAGCAGCTTCATCATCAATGACTTTTGGAGAACTCGGTGGACTTTTCACACTGGCATCAACATAACATTTGATAGTTTCAGATTGCACTAAAGATTCTTCTAACTTATTAGAATTATTCACATCAAAGTTATCAGAATCTGAAGGCTTCAGATCAGCAAGAAAAGGTCTGGGACTTCCAAAACCTTCCATTTCAGGTGATTTGGAACTCTGTTTACTATAAGGTTCTAATGCATTTTGAGAATTATCTTCAATTGTAATCTTCATCTCAGGCTCCAGCGAATCCGAAGAGGCAGGAAGCGAGCTCTGGACTATTGGCTCTCCACTATTACTATCATCAATGTTGGCAGATATGGAAGTTTTAGAGTCATCAAGAGAGAGCTCAGCAGACACTGGTAAAGAATAATCAGTTTCCTTTTCAGAATTAATTTCACCATGTTCAGACATACCAGAAACCTCCATCGTCCTTGAATGAGGGGTTGCTGCAGGACTAGATGGGATCAACTCGGATTGGCCTCCCACAGCTTCAGGCTGGGACACGAACCTAGAGCCGCCGCCATGACACGAAGCAAGAGGTGAAGAAGGATTTTTAGCATTAGGGCTCAATTTATCAGAAGTATTTTCAGCAATACCCGAACGTTCTGCTGTGGCTGAACAATCCAGATTAAAGGTGCCAGCCTGACTAGCAACAGCATTATTACTAGAATTATCAGTTTCCAGGGGAATTGTTCCACATCCAGTGCCACCAACTTCTAGAGGTGAGGAACCTGCAGACTTCTGTAAAGCAGCAGAAAGACTGTTTAAACTAACATTCTCTTGCGCAGCATTAAGTGAACTGGCATCATGCTGAGCCCCAGCCTCAATCTGAGTGCTTGAGGATTCAATGCAATTCTGAATCTGTTCCTTTTGACTAAAATCACTGGCACGGATTTCAGGTTCACTGACAGTCATAATCTCATTCACAACTGCTTTTGAATCAGATGATGTTCCTGAATGTTTTTCATTCCCATTTACTGGAACAACTGAAGTAAAACCCGTTGCTTCAGAAGTTGGTATCTCAGAATTCATTTCGTCCTCAGGATTTTGAGCCTTTAATACCTCCTCTGACAGTTTTTCATGCTTGTCTACAGAAAGCACCGGAGTTACACTTGTTGCTCCAGAAGTTGGCATATCAGAACACTGTTTATTGTCACAGCTCTGGTTATTCAATTCTTCCACTGCAGTTTTAGTCGTTGCACCAATAATTGGGCTGTTCTTATCTTCAATCCCAACAGAATCATGTGCTTTAGGCTTTGCCAAGCAAGTTCCAGAGAAAACTTCCTTCATCACACGAGCAACATCATTCACATTCTGAATTCGGCCAGTAGCAGCAACCTTGTCTGGGGATCCAGAAGCACCATCACCCCTTGATGATGAACCTCTCTGCTGCTTGTTTTGGGAAAAATTGAAGGCTCTCTCTTTCCTTTTTGAATCTGGAACAGCTGTACCACTGGGCAAATGAATCTGGAATTGCTGAGATTGATTAGCATTTGTCCATTCCTGGACCTCACCTCCATGACTTGCTATAGAAGCGGCTTTGTCCCCAGGGGAGTTATGGGAAAGCTGACTCAATTTAGGATCCTGAACAGCCGGAGCACTGGGAACAGGTAAAGCTGAAGCTTGTCTTTTCCCCCTGCGTCGTGGTGGGTCTGCTCTATTTTGAGTTTTACGACCTTGCCTTTTGACCGGCACAGATTCAGATGGTAATGGGCAAGGATGAGAAGATTCAGAGCCCAGAGGGGGAGAGCAAGAAATGCTTGATGGGACACTGGAAGCAACCTTTGCATCCATATGATCCGAAGATTTACCAATGCTTTCCATAGTTGCACTACCAGCTATGGAACTGGCTGGAGAATCAATGTTTGAAGGGGCAGGTTTAGAAGTTTCCACTGGTTGTTGTGTTCTGCCATCAACTGTCTGGTCCTTTGTGACCGCAGTAAGAGGTAAAGTTGGGGCAAGCACAGTTTCATTCCCTGAATTATCACTAATTTTAATGTCGGATGAAGTGAATTGCGAAGAACTCCCTTTAGCCACTGAAGCAGAATCATGAACATTGGAATTCTGCAACTCTGACCCTGTACAAGAAGAACATACCTTGAGTTACTAGATAGTCGTTGCTGATATAAATTAGAAGTTGTAATAAAAACCACTGCACATTCACCTGGAGTTTTAGTAATATTAGATGGTGAAGTCACTGTCTGCTTGGCCAAATCATCCGATTTTTCTGAGAGTTTTAAATCATGATCACCAGGGTTCAGTGATACCTGCTCCTGAATAACACCTTTCGATTCTTGAACAACATCCTCCGTCAAGCTTTTCACATCGACACCTTTTTCACCCAGTGCACTGCCTGATGAAACCTGTAGACTAGAATTTATATGCAACTCCTTCTGACCTGATGTGTCAGGAACAACAGGCAATACAGACTCCTGTTTCTTTCCCCTGCGCCTGGGAGCTCCTCCTCCACTTTGTGACTTCCGACTTTGACCCTTGTTCTGTGTAGGAACACTGGGAAAAGTAGGGGCAGTTTGAGGCGCAGTAGCAGCAGAGGGCAGAGATGTAGGTACCTGACTATTCAGAGAAATTCCAGCACCCAAATGATCCTTTCCACTGTCTAAAGATGTAGAAGCTGATACAATATTTGGATGCTGTATTGTAGCATTGCTGGTAACAGTTCCACTCTGGGAAAAAGCTTGGTCTACAGATGAGTTTGTGGCTTTATCCTCTAGCTGTTCATTTAACTTTGAATCAGGACCACCAGAACCACCAGATACAGGAGATGACACCACAGCCAGCTTCTTCCCTCTGCGTCTGGGTGCTTCACCTCCACTTTGAGTTTTCCGCCCTTGTCCTCTTGCTTGAATTGGCACAGAGACAGCAGCAGCAGTGGATTGCTTCTCAGGAACAGCTGTTGGTAAAGGAACGGCAACCTGTGAGGTGGGAGCAATTCCAGAATCAGAGTGCTGCATGGGTCCAATTGTCCCTACAGCTTCAGATGACTGGGGACTAGAAGATGTTGAAGGCGCAGACAAAGTCCCTCTTTGTAACTGCTTATCCACTCCAATAGCTGCAGGAGGTGCCAGAGAAACCACAGCAGCCGGTGACTTATCTGATGTTATCCTTTTTGGCCTTCCTCTACCTCGTTTAGCTGGAGGAGTTATCTCTTTGGTTTGCTGTACGGGAACAATCTCCACAGGTGGCAGACTTGGGACCGAAGGAGGGATGGCTTCAGGTTCAATGTTAGAAGTAGCTGCAACTGAGTTGGAAGAATTTGCTGGGCCACTTGTTTCTACTACTTCTTCTTTTACTTTGGGTGATCCTGGAGATTCAACCTGACACATCTTCTCAAACTCCTCTTCTGTCCATTGCTCTTCATAAGAACGCACCTACAAGAATAACATACAAGGTGAAAAGCTCAACATTAGGACACCATACTGAACACACAAGGATCTAAATAAGCATTCCTTGATCCAATTTCCCATTTACTCCCTTCAGTCCTTTGAACAAGAAACAAATAACTAAATCATGAAGATCAAAAAAATTAGTTGAAACATTTACTCTTCACAAATACTCCTCCGGTCCTAAATGTAAGACTCATTTCATAGTGTACCAAAAATGTACGTCACAAAGTGTAATTTTTTTCCAAAAAATGCCGCAATTAAATGTGAACTTACAAAATATTTGATGACCCTCATAAAGCCAATTTATATTTAAAGAAGGACATAAGGAGAACTTTTTAATAAATAAGGTAGTCATGGATAGTTAGTCTCTTACAATTAGGACCAAGAGAAGGCTCCCTAATTCTGGTAAGTACATTCATAAAGAAACTTAGAACCAGACTCATGTACATAAGCAGTTTAGATACACATCTACAGCCATATAAACAATTGCACAGGAAGAACCAAAAGATCATACAGTAGACAAACCTCTCTGGCACGTTTTCCCCTCCCATACTGTTGAGTATCAAGGCCCCCAAGATATTCACTTTTCCGCTTTACTCCACTAGGAACTATTGCACCCTTAGGTACATCATATATCTTCATTGCTTCATAGAAATTTTTCAAGTCATCATCAGTTACAAGACGAGGTGGAAGGGGAATTATAAGGTCAGAACTATCAGCTGCCTGGCCAAACATCAATTTCTTCCATGTAGTCTGAAACAATTGATTTAGAGCTACTGTAAGATAATCCATACAAGAAAAAGACAGAAATTCACTTGATCGCATACCATTTCTTCTTCCCTCCTCTTTTTGTCAACAGCCTCAAATATATCCAACTCCATTTCACTGCCCACAAAGGCACATGATCTTTGTCAAATTTCTTTCGACTTTCATTGGACATGAAATTAGCATAGAAGGAGAAGGGTTCAAGGGTAAAAGGCACAACGTAAATGCATGATATAAATGCAATATGTTATGTAACTATAATAACAGATAAAAAAATATTTAAATATGATATAAATTGGATAAATAAGATTTAAATGATATTAAGTAGGATTTAGATCGGGTTTAGGGAAGAAGAGATGTTCAAATGACAAGACACTATGCAGAGGCCCCATAATTTGGAGTGGATCAATATCAGTTTACGTTCCCCTCATTTTATCCAATTGTGATTCCAATGCGGTCATTGATGCAAGAAGGGGGGAGTTGCTTCAAATGACTTATTTTTTTTAAAGACTCCAATGTAATTTTTCTAAGATTTATGTCACAACTCTGGAGGAGATCCTTTCTCAGAAAACCAGTATATTAAGAAAGTAAAGTTTCCATACTGATAAGAGCTCTTAAGCATCTCACTACCCCAGTGTGGGACTTAACACCTCTCTTAGCTATCTCATCGGGCATGCCAAAACACGTACAATACATATGACAGCAAAATATACAACAACATCACACCTATTCTTACATCTAGAGTCACCATGATCAAACGGCACTTCTCAATAACACAGTAACTGTTCTCATCACTCTTGTGCTAAAGTAGAGAGGAGAAACTCCTAGAATGCAATTCATAATCAGAATGGGATGTGCCAGGCAATGGAAAGACAGCCAGGTGGTGAAAGCATTAAGATAAAAAAATACCTCCGAGCCAAGAGATCATTTAGAGCATCATCATCTAATACTGGTGCCGCTTCCTCTTTCTTACACTCACGTAGGAGGGACTCCAAGTATTCTCGTCGATCTTCAGCACTGAGGTAAACAATAGGCAGGGTAAATTAGAAGTTAAATCTATATCATTGTGAACAACTGAATTGGAGTTAAATTTATATCATCGTGAACAACTAAATTGAATTAATATCATGAAAACCTCGTGTTGTTGTCAAAAAACCCAGCAGTAATGCTCTGATTGGCAACACCTAGTTTGTGCTCAGCAGCAGCTCTAACTTGTTCTTCAACAGTTTGAACCTTATTATATAGGAAAATACTTTATCAAACATATGTCCATATGACAAATAACAAATCAAAGCTGATGTTGCAAAGATAATTATTCAAAATTGAACAGGATGACAGGTAGGGTTGTTTTCTATGCACAGTACATCATTATTCAAAAGAAGACACTAAATTTAATCATACATGCCATACACTGATAGAAAACAGTGACAGCAAGAATACTTTCTACACGGTCTAAAAAGCATATTCCAGCTTCATATCAACACTGTACAGGGCATGCAGTTTGCTTCTACAAAGCTTACTAATAAAGAAAGCACTTTCGTTCTTAGAAAGGAAGAAAGAAAATGAGAGGGAGGAGGATAAGATACGCATCTAAAAGAAAAACCTATGAGAATCATTAGCCTACGGGGCTCAAGAATGCAGTAGATTCACTTTATCCGTTGTCACTTCTCAGTACATGATTGATGCAATATACAAATAAACAAATACTGACTGTTTCGAAGCGCAGAACGAGAACATCCCTCTTTTGACCAATTCTATGAGCTCTTGCCTGTGCTTGCAAATCAACCTGATAATATACCAATAAATAAGAAGACCTTAGTATATCAGCAACAAAAACTAAGCAATCCAAAAGCACATAACAGAAATTTCATTGCCTGTGGATTCCAGTCAGTGTCAAATATGATCACCGTGTCAGCAGCTTGAAGATTCACTCCAACACCACCAGCTCGAATGCTTTATAAAACATACGTGCATGTCAGCATACTGAAGCTACTTGGAAATGAGAATACAGAAGAACTTCCAGAGAATTAGGACCTAAATTGTTAACATTTTTTTGTGGGGTGACTTCTAAGAAAAATTACATGAATACAATAAAAGATTTTATCTTCCATTCCGTAACAGTCACCATAGATGCCCACCCACATTAAAACAGCTGATTTAGAAGTAATTACTTCATATTTTACTTCCACAATGGATTTTCATAACAATGTCATATTTTTTTCATTCCGTAAGGGCAATGGGTTTTCATTTGTTTTATTTACACCTGTCATCCAAGCCCTTAACATCAGACTTTTTATATTTAGCTATTAGATCTCATAGCGGGCAAGCATGCTGCTTTTTCTGGGGTTGCTGAAAACTCAATCTGGCAGTGATCTTTGATTGATTCACAGATATAAAAATTAGGGGCGGTAAAAATTCTGGGGTTTTGACACAGAACAAGACGTACCAGGTGTGCCAAGTGATGGTTTAACTACAAACAGATGACAACCAGCAGACTAAAACTAAATGTCAATAACAATGATTTCTTACCCTCTTTCACTGTCACAAACAATACTGTAGTAAACATTAGAATTACCTGAGCAAGAATATAAAGAATGGAGAGCCAGGTTGGTTAAACAAATCAATTAGGGCACCACGGTCACTCCCAGATGTATGTCCATCCAATCGAAGATAACGATACTGTTTTACCGTTAAGTATTCCTCCATAACATCAAGAAGCCTAGTCATTGTTGAAAAGAAAAGAACCTGTAAAGGTATTGATAGAATAAAATCAAACATTATTGAAATGTCCCAAATGAAGGTAAGTGATGCTTAAGGTACATCACTAAATGCAGGGGGGGGGGAGACTATTTCAAGCACATAAAGCATCTGAAGTGGAAACTAACAAGCTAAATCTCACCATTAGAATCTTGAGGAACAAGACACAAGTAACAAAGAAACACTACTAGAGTTAATTGCAGTTTGTCAGTACAAAAAATAAAAAACATCATATTTACAGCTTGTAAGTATCATAGATAAAAGCTAATTGCAGTAACCTAGTAATATGGCGTCTTTCATACCCTATGATCTGTGGCCTTCAACTTTGGTAATAATCGGTCCAACATTTCAAGCTTCCCACAAAGTCTTACAATTGGGGGCAGATAATGCTTGGGTATATAGTTATCCACCTACAGAAGGCAAGAGTCACAGCTTAATCATACAACAAGAAATCAACATAGAATCCCATCCCATGGACCTTGACCTTCCACCAAAATAATCAGATAGATGGAAAGGGTGAAGGAAATAATCAGAGATTGAATAGAGTACAGGGTATAACCTATGCAAAGAGCTCTATACTCTCAGATCATAATAGCAGAAAAACTAAGGGCAAACCTAGAGAGGACACTTTTGATCAGAGTATTTAAAGTTTTTTTATCCGGTTTACCAGCTCAATAAGGAAGAGAAGCTTAAGCACAACACCTTTGAAGAGCACCAAATGCTCCCCAATCTTTCAATGTCACAGTAAAATTATTGTTTTCCTATCCCATCTTCTAAGAAAGATAAAAGCTTACCTCCTCAGCATGCAGTTGGCTCAGATAAGGATGGTTGCAAATATTACGGAGCTCCATAACAGAATTGTGTACCGATCGAGCCTAACAATTGAGGCTTCCAATTAGACCCCAAAACCCAATAAATTAAATTACACATGCACATATACGTGCACGTATATAAAAGAAAAAATGAGAGGAAAATAAGGGGCAAATAAGTCCATTTCCACTAAAGGAATGAGACAGCATTCAACACAGATAGAAAGGACACCTTTGAAGCGCCAATAGAACCAAGATTCTCTTCCACCCGCTTCATTAGAAGTTTCTGATATGCAGAAGCCTCACATCTTACCAGTCTCTCAATCTTTTCAGGCAGCTCATTTTCAACCTATAGTAGGGTGGAAAGGCATGATAATTAACAAAAGATAACAATTTCAAGATATGATGACAGAAAGATGGACAAGGACAATTTCAAATTCAAATGTTCTACATTTATGTCCTCATAAGTCAAATCAAGTAAGGAAAATATTAATGTACAGGCAGCTCATTACAACTGAAAGTATGATAGAACTAAAAAATAATAAACATATAATAATGAAGTCCAGATAAAATTACTACAAGATAGACAAATACAGTTTTTAAGTCTCAACTTAGATGTCTAAATCCAAGGAAAATGCAGCAGATGACGCAAAAATAAGTTATATCTATATCATTTTTGGCCCCAGAAAAAAGTTATATCTATATCATAAAAGGACGCCACTCAGAATCTTTCTTTTATAATCAAGCAGAAAAAAAAATACAGCACATGACATGAGTATAAGTTATGTCATACAAGGACACTACTCATAATTTTGTTAAACATTAGTCATTCATTTTATGGAAAATGAAATATCTAGCATTACTCTCAGGCAGCTCATTATTAAAAATTCATCTTGATAGCACGTACCACAACATCAGAGGAGAACATAGAGAATGATTGTCATAGTAAGCATGTGGCTCAAGCCGGTTAAAAACATAATGTTCCTCCACAAACGTAGTTGACATGGATAGTGGTGGACAAATTCAATTACAAAGCAAATATATGCAGAACTATACTTTTATAATCATGATAAAAATTAATTATTCATTATGAGAAATTCATGATGTTCATGAATCACAAGCCACAGAAATTTATCAGTTATATCAAGCTGCAATTAAAGTACAAAGAGAACTCAAGACCATGGATAGAAACAACTAATGAGAATGAGCACCTTATGTTTTAGCCTGCGAAGTACAAATGGCCTCAGAACTTGATGTAGACGGTTTATGATCAAGAGATTCTCCTCCTCAGACAGTAAAGCCTTATTAACAAAAGACAACAACATGAACATTGCAAAAGTTGGGTCTTTAACTTGTGCACAGGGCAGCATCAATATATCAAGGAAAAATTTTAATGTTAATACCGATCCAAATCTTACCTCATCAGGTGAACTGTCTCCATTACTCTGAAATGGTTTATTGAACCATTGAGAAAAGTCCTCTGATGAATTAAATATGTTAGGTAACAGGAAATTAAGCAGTGCCCACAATTCCTCAAGATTGTTCTGTATGTGAGAAGAGCACACACATTCAACATCAGTATCATGGCAACAAAGCAAAAAGACAAAGCAAAAGTCAGCAGATTCAGCAGAACTCTGTCATTCAGAGAAAGAAGCAAATGCAAAGAAAATTTTAAAGAGAGAATGATCATGCATCACCAGCAAAGATCAATACCGGAGCCAAAGGTACAAAGAGGGAGGGGAAAAGAGAGGGAAACCTGCAATGGTGTTCCAGTTAACAACAACCGATGAGAGCTTTGATAGTGTTTCAAGTCAGCATTCAACTTGCAAGAAGCATTCTTTATTCGGTGCCCTTCATCAATTATTACATAGTGCCAATGTATTTTGCTCAGCTTAGGCCTATCATGCTTGTTCATTAGATACTCGTATGTTGTCAATAGTACATTAAATTTCTGGTGAACAATCCTTTCCCTACAGTATGAATAAAAATCTCAGAATCATATAGCAAAACACAATTTCAAACAAGCAAGAGGTTGTTATCTATCATTCCATTACTTGAATAACCGCCGACGCTCCTCTGGAGGTCCAGAGTAGACAATTTTATGAACACCTGGAGCCCAAAAATTAATTTCCGACTCCCAACCAGGTAGAACTGAAGAGGGAACAACCACAAGAAAAGGTCCTCTATCATTTTTGGTTTCCATCAGGTAGCAAATCAGAGCAATAACCTAGACAAGTGAAACATGATCAGGATCTGGCAGAGTATAAGTTTAAATTTTAAGGTCCAATAATGCTCCCATCTACAACAGAAAGTAGCTTCTGCCATCTTCAGGTGAGTAGTTTTAGCCCTGTTGATGCAGGACCAAACATGCACTGATACTCTATAGCTACTCTTTCATAGAATATCAAAAAATCTAACTAAGAGAAATTACCAAGCAGGAAAACATAGTATTAAATAATAGACATTAAGCATACAGTGAAAAACAGGAATCTAGCTCCCAAAACGACTTTCCCACTTGAACAGAACTACAGCATACCTGAACAGTTTTACCCAGTCCCATTTCATCGGCAAGTATTCCATTCAAATGATTGTTGTATAGCGAAACCAACCACCTCAGGCCATTCATTTGGTACCTGGAGCATAAAAATCACAATCAAAAGCAATGTCAACCTAAACTCCCTCCTTACCAAACATCAAACAAGGTTAAATAAAAATAATTAAAAAAGAGAGAAAATAAGCCAGAGAACATGCAGAGAGAATTAATCTCCCTGCCTTACCCACAAAAGCAGGGCCAAATTAGTTCAACAAATGTTAAATTACCCTGTCAATCATCAATGAATTTTCAATTTGGTCTTTACAGATTAAAAGTTTGTGACTAGTTCCCAATAGTTTTAGGGGTGAACCTCATCATTCACCGACCATTTGTGTGAATTTACTTTATTAACATGAACTTTGGGCCCCCCAGGCACTAGAAAAGGAATAAAGGAAGATGTCCAAGTGAAATCTACTGGCATGTAGGGCATGTGATGAAAGGGACCACATTTAAAAAAAGGGCGGGGCACTTCAGATTTTGTGGATCAGCATGGTAATCCAACCCACAAAAACATCACCATGACAACAAACAAAAGAAGCTTCTCCACCGTTCAATAAAATGCAGTCAAATTTCAATCCCCATAATAAAACATACACATGAATCTACTAGAATTCATAAACTATAAAAAGGAGGAAACTTCACTTACTCCCTCAATTTTCCACCCTGCAGAGAAGATGGCTGCTCAGCAATGCTCTCCTTTATACTGCACAAAAAAAATTTGTTTACAACAGAGAAATAGAACTAAAACTACATATAAGAAAATTCAGGACAACATTTATAGATCAATGGGCTAAAAAGATGACAGATGTAAGTAATTTCAGAAAGACATTCTTCACAACAGAATAAAGTTATTAGCAAAGAGCTCAAGAAGATCAATCTTTGAAGATAACAGGGTAGAAGTATCACCTGTGGGCCATCATATAATACTTCTCATTGCTTTCCAAATAATGCTGAAAAAGAAATTGCAATATATGAGTTCCATGTTCTATCATATAAACTTAAGGAAGTGGTTGGTTGGAAGGACTTGCCTTTGCCTGATCACTTTCATCCTCATTTTCAAGAGTTGTCTCATTTTTCTCAAACACACTTCCATTTCCTGCCTCATCAACATCATGCTCAAAACGACCAGCTACAGTCTTTGCCTCTTGAAGCTTTGATCCAAGCTTTTGAAGATACTTCTCGGTCTCTTTAAGAAGTTGCTTTACCCGATCTGATTTTGCATCCTAGTGCCATCATTTAAGATTATATTAGCCAAAAGTTCTAAATATGAACGCTTCAGCAAAAAGGGTAACCACAAAAACCCACCTGCACCATTCGCAGATAGCCCTCCACATCATTTATTTTCAACAAATTAATCTTTTCCCTCTGAATTCTATCAATCTTCTCTCGATGAATTCTTTCCTTTCTTTTATGGAACTCCTTCACATATCTATTGAAACCCTTCCACCTTTCTCTCTTGATTTTGAATGCATCATCTAGCCTTTCCCTACAATTCAAGAAACAAAGCAGCATACCAAGTGAGGAAGAATGGCAGGGAAAAAGAGAAATTTGTATATAAATTCAACTAACATGTGTACCTATCTACTAAGAATGCACTAGAAGTAAAAAAGAAACAGCAGAAATGGGTAAGAAGAGCACATACTTGTGAACTTCAATCTCACTGAAAAACTCCTTCTGCCTCTCTCGAATTCTCTTCTGACGCTCTTCCTTCATTTTCTGCTCAAACCTTTCAAGTTGCTTAATCCTCCTACCATGCCTATGTTTCTTAATTGACTTCAAATGGTCCATCTCAGATGTAATCGGTTTGAAAAAATCATTCAAGAAACCACTGCCCAAGAGGGAAAATTACATTGTCAAACTACAAGTATTTTGAAGTCTTCAATACAAGAAAGAAAAAAAGAAAAAAACCTTCGAAGACGACGCTGGAGATCCAATAGTTGAAGTTTTTTCAGCTCTATAACACTCTTTGTCTTAGCAGATATATCTTCAGATGAGTTCACATTTTCCTGCATCAGAGGGATTTATGTACAGGCCATGGAAACAAAACGGCATTAGGTAATAACAAAACTATCTACAATTGCAGTGTAGCAGAGCACAAATAATAAATCACATGAACACAGAAACATATCAAAATTGAGCTACTAAGAGAGAAACAGTTAAAACAAACCTTTAGCTTGTCATAACATGAAACAATTTTTTGCCTTGTCTTTTGCTGTTTTCGTACCCAATTTTGCTCAATTAGAAGCCTCCTCTTATGCTGATCCATAATCCATTTCTCCGACATTGTATATCTTGGAGATGCTGGCATTTCAGCTGATGCAAACCTCTCATTCCCTTCTTGCTCTGCAAGTAATTTCTTTTGAAAATCAGAACACCTGAGAAATATGCATAGAAATAAAGTAGGAAAGCAACAAAAAATTTGGTTCCAGGTACGCAATTCTATTGCACATGATTCTCACCCATAGAAACATGTTTTGTCATAACATTACCATCCTTCAACATGGTCACTCCCTGAGGATCGCTGTCAGTTCCTGGCACAGGTTTCCAGTGCTCCTTTAAGGAATAAGAAGGCAAGTGACTAACAGAACTATGATTCCGAGGTCCACCATTATTATTACCAATATTTTGAAAATGACTAGGAATATTCTCTCTTCTCTCAACTGGCAACTCGTGCTGAACAGCAGGCACCTGTAGAGGTCCCTTCAGAGTGTCATTGTGACTGACAAATCCAGACCAGTTAATGCCATCAGGGTTCACAGGCTTATTCAGACCCATGACAGTAGATGTCTGGTTAGACCTTCCAAACTGCATATTGCTATTGTCAACATCATCCAAATGATTATTAACAACCAAAGAACCCCTTCCGCTCACAGAATCGTGCTGCTGAAATGTTGGGTTTGAAAACGCTTGTGCAGCCACTCTTTCTTGAATCTGTCGTTCAACTTCTCCTTTCTTTAAGGATAGCAGATGCTTCCTTTCTTCTAAAAGTGCATGGACATCAGAATGCAGGTTACCTTTGTCCTCCATCACATTTGGGCTCTCAACCCCCTTTGAAAATGAATCAGCCTCCAGAATCTTTCCCGCAGGAGACGACAGAGTAGGGTTTTTATCAGTTTGTCTCATATTGTTTAGGCCTCCAAAAGGCATCATCATTCCAGATGCACTATTGGGTTCATTCGAAGACTGTGATTTTCCTTTCTGGTCAATCAGCTCTTTGCGGGAACCATCTGTATTGCCACCTCATTGCACACCAGTTAGTTGAAGAAGACCTTTTAATTTTTTGACCAAAAAAACAAATAAAAAAACTAGATATCACTAACCTTCTCTAGAAAAAGTGGTTCCCAATGCAATCTCAAGATGTAATTTCTTTGGTGGCAAACCATTTCTGCCCATTAAACAACGATTTTTATCAAGCCACTTTCAGAGATAATTCAAGTCACACCTAAAAAGTGTTGGTAGAACATATCTACCTGAATGCTAGAAAAACAAGGCACTGAGCTCGAAGCTGCTTTAACTGTTGTTCTCTAAATGGTGTGGAAGATGATGCAGGTCCAGAAAAAGGCAATTTTCCAGTGTCTCTCGGAGGACCACTTTGTCTTGGCATAGCTGATTCTGTGGCACTGTTTTGCCTTCCAATCTACCAATTAAATTATCAGGTCAAGCAATCAGGTTGGCTCATATTTAAGTAAGATTCATAGATAGCAAAAAGCAGAATATTCTTGGGGGGCCCACAAAAGTTTGAACTTAAGGCCTAGTATAAATAACCTGACTCCTCACGGCTAAACCAGGCCTATTGGCTTCAAGCAGAATAAATATTAACTATTCATATATAATCATTAAGTTGTCACCAAGTCTATCAGAGTTAGATGACCATTGCACAGTGTCTATATATATATATATATATATATATATATAAAGTAGAGAAAATAAAGGGGCGAACCAGAAGGCAAAAATTTGAGCATAACAAGAAATAAAAGTTAATGTAACCTCTCTTCTAAGCTGATCAATCTAGCTCCCAAACAGCTAGGATTTGCCATCAAGGACCACTTCACCCAATATTTTCACAATTAGGAGATGACCCATGAATCGTATTACTAGTATCTTTATCATTTATCATGGCCTTTGACATACACCGTTTGGTTTATAAGCCTAGATAAAACTTAAGCCCACCATGCAATGTGCTGAAATTTAATTTAACTAAAAAAGGGGGAGTAGTAAGGATCAAAATCTTCACACTCAATCATTGAGGCTCTAGTATCAGAATCACATGAAAAAAAAAAAACAAATATTAAGCATTTAGAGAACACACCAAAGATTTTATTTTTGTTCACAATCTCTAATGGAATCAGATGCTATCCGCTAGAAAGAATAATCAATCTCTCCCAAGAGCTGAAATGGCTAAATTAGTGGCAACATGTGAGGGCTAGACAATATACATAGCCATAGACTTTCCCGCTCTCCAGCAGGAGAGTGAGCAAAAGGAGACTGCTCTTCTACCAGAACACTAGATAACGAAAATGAACACCTTACTAAGTGTAATAGCCAAATAGCACCAACAATTAGTGTTCAAATATATCCTTCTAGATCAACAGTGCCTGGCTTCATAAGGCTGTTTCCTCACATTTAGACACATAAATACTTTGAAACAAAAGGCCATCTATTTTTGTATTGTGGTTGTAATGTAGCCTAGCACTTTTTATTTTGCCATTTGGAGAGCAATGGATTTACCCACCAAATTTGAAAGTCTTTTCTAAATAAAATGCCATGGTTTCCCAACATCATTTTCTGTCTTGATGAAATTCTCCTTCTTTCTACATCTTCTCCGCATCAATAAATTCTTTTTATAGTAAAAAAAATATTCTGGATAAATAATTGTGAAAAGGGGACATAACAGTGGTTTTCACCGTTATAGGTACAATGAAAAATTTTCATTATTTTACTGGGGGTCAAAACCCTACAAAGAACCAATCAGCTCTACCATTCTCAGTCGTTTCTGATGAAGTTAATATTAAAATTAATAATAGTATGAAAGCATTTTCAACTTCCAGAGAACACTATTGTGCAACCATCTACAAAATACAATACAGTCTTTTTTAGTTTTAAATTAAATTAATACTGAGAAGGGGCATCCCATCAACTTCACAACTGTAATAGTACATATGCCTCATGAAATTAGCCTCCATCAAAAATCTCAGACCAGGTGACTACACAAGGTGAACAGGCAAACAAATGCATTATATGGAAATAAAAAATTTAAGGACTAGAAAGCAGCATTAAGCACCTGTGCCACTTTATGTGCATCAGCTAAAGTAGCTGCGCTGCCCCCATCATGCTCAAGACCACCACCACCATACTGCATTGGACTTGAAAAAGCTGTTTCTGCCAATGGATATGCACCAGTAGCAACTGCCATCCCTCCATGAGCCTTGCCATACGCACCTGGAATCCAGCAAGAAAATGACTCCATAAATAATAAGATGCAAAAATTCCAAAATTGTAGCTTTTCCTTGTTAACATCAAAATGTAAGCAGAACTGATATGTTCCCAAATCCTTATTGTCCTAGTTTGACATTTGCAGACATATTAATGAAGTAAAATGCATCCAAGAGCTTGAATATAACTCATGAAAAGCCAAGACTGACATAAGAACCAGAGTGAGCATAAAATCTCCATATAAAGATGTCATTGGATAATCAACGTTAAATGCATCCTCTTTCTTCAAATTTTGCCACTTGTACATTCCAATATACAATGACCCTGTGGCTGCAATGTTTTCACGCTACTAGACAGAGCTATGAAAAGATCCATTGCACCACTACTTGAAACCATGTTAAAGTTAGTCTGCTCACCACTTTTAACTGGAAGGCCATCTGATGGTTCAGCTTTTGTCATTTTCCCCTTCCTAGCATTAACAACAGTATTCCGCGAATCAAGTTGAGAAGGACCATCAACATGTGGTTCCACAGGTGAGGATGTATCTCCCCTCTTTCTCTTTGTTGCAGCTTTCTTACCATCCTTTTGACTCCCCTGCTTTTCCCAGTTAGCAGTATCACGTCTGTCTTGTGACTGTGAGTTTGCAGACCTTGAGTCCAAACTAGAAGGACTTTCTTGATCAAAAGACTGACTACTCCTCTGAGCCACAGATCCCTGATAATAATCAGGAGCTCCACTACTTGGGGCAACCGGTGGCCGGTTAGAAGCAAATGGTTCCATTTTGGACATATCATGTTCGGTCAAGCCCACTCTAGAATCCTTTGGAACACCTACTGCCTGTGAAGATCCTATACAAAAACAATAACAATAATGATATGAAAACCTATGATAGGGAATGATCAATATTCTATCTTGAGAACCCACTGTCATATATCTACCTATTTGGGCTCCACCAGTTAAGGGAAGGCGCGAAGACTTCAATGCTTCAATATCAAGGCCATGCTGATTTATAACAGTCTCCATTGCCCTATAAAAGACAAGATTAAATAGAAGGAAAATGCATTAAAAGATTTTATTTAGCAGGTAAAAGAACTTTACTGAGTGTGGAGAATGAGAAGGATTAAAATAGGCAAAACAATACAGGCCCAGTGCCTAGGACAAGAAAATATAAACTTTGCTAGAAATATCAAATTGCAACAAGGGCAACATCAATATCTATGGGTAGAGTTACAAGTCTATTGGGTAAGAAGGCCCTCGTGCCCCAAAAAAAGGAGCATGGTTAGCAAAAATCAAAATGAAAAGAAAAAGGGGTCAACAATTCAATAACTACGCACGCATTAGAATGGTAGTTGCCATAGTTACCTTGATATCACTTGATACGGCATTGAATGTTCCTTTCCACTTGATTTCATGTGTTGAAGTATCTGAGAAGCACATAAAAATAAGTCAATCACAAGCACAATTAATTGTATGTACGGAATTTTTTAATAAATATTTTTTTAAAAAAAAGGCCACAGATCATCTGAGAAGCACATAAAAAGAAGTCAATTACAAGCAGATTTAGTTGTATATGAGGATTTTTTTTTTTGAATAAATTAAAAAGAAAAAACCACAGATTTTTATTCAAGAGAAAACAGAACGCACCACATAGAGTTTAGTAGCCAACTTGGCTGGCTCATCTTTTGAATCCTGGATGAGTTTGTGCAGAAACTTCGCTGCCTCCAACTCAACATTATGTGAGGACGCCATATCATTTAAGCTGCAGTATGCAAGCAATAACCAACATTATCAGATCAAAATAAACTATGAATTGCTTGCATTTTTAAATAATTCCAAAGAATAATCAATATTCACAACAATGGTATCTCCAAACTCGATGCAGAGAATGATTATAGTGATGCAGACTGCAATGAACTTCACATTTTCAACAGCAACCACATAAACCCAGCAGACCTTGTTTGTCAGCCTACGTATCTTATTGGGTAGCATATGTGCGTTCGTTCCAGCTATCTAAATAATCCCACAAAACCAACAGGGTAAAAAGGCGGGGGCATTAATCAAGACATGCATGAAACTGTGCGAATGCTTTAATTCCGGAATATGAACCGAAAATTTACCAAGACAGCTCTCACTTTCTCATTTGTACCCTATCTTACACTTTTCAAAACCAAAATTTATATATTTATACGCCAATTTATCAACATATACAAAACTCGTGTTCCTTTCTATTCCAAAACCACCCAAAAGAAAAAGGGAAAATTATGCCTCTGTATCTTTATGCCCGCAATACCACATCATCATTACTCTTAACGCAGAAAATCGCGCAAACTTAGTTTAAGTACACAAGAAGCCATGTTACGGCAAATACAGGGAGGGAATGCCGGCTGAACCAGCTGCGACTCTCCAAGCTGCGTTCCGTAGTTAGCAAGGAAAAATCAAACCCATGAAAACTCCAGAAAAAACGACTGACTCGAGTCTCCAAAAGGTGAAATTTGACGGAGGTGGTTTCTAGAGGAGTCCTAGCGTGAAAGACACAATTGGAAACGCAAGAACACTGTCAGTAGCCAGAAATTCAGGTGGGTCATTTAAGAATTACCTGATCGGAGATCGAGGCTATGACACTCCGAGAAGTGAAGCGGGGTCAGCTACATAGAGAACTCGCCCCTGAAAGCCTAGCTCGCGACGGAAAAAAGAACCGACCTTTCCCAGAATGAGACCCGCAAACAAGGTCTCTGGTCCGGTACGTGCGTGGTGTGAGCCTTTGTGCGGGAATTGTGAATTTAACACGCGCGGAGTCTGATGACGGGGCGCTCTTTATTTTTTTTGGCCCCATCGATGGCCGGGGGCTTATTAGAGCTCATGAAAATGTAAAAATTAAACTAAGACTTAATAATTAAGGATACGCCAACAAAAGCGGTGCGGCGGGTCCTGATCGTAATCAGCTTCCATGATCTAATTTATTTAAATTTTATTTACTAGAAAATATATATTAAGTACATAATTATTATTAATCAGATAAAAATAAGGGAAAATTGCAAAAAAAGACCTTGGAATTGTAAAACGCAGATAGGGACCCTTGACAACTTCACTTTGGGTTTTGACAAGAATAATATGCCCTGAAGTTGTCAAAACCCAAAGTGAAGTTGTCAAGGGTCCCTATCTGCGTTTTTGCAATTCCAAGGTCTTTTTTTGCAATTTCCCCTAAAAATAATATATTTATCTTTCAGATTTTTAGTAAAACATGGCGCACGTATATGAAAAATGGCATCATTTATTTGTCATAAAAAATGACATATTTTCTGTATATAAAATTGAAATTGAATTGTTACGTTTCAAGCTTTAGCCAAAAAAATTTGTTACTTATTAAGCGAGTAGAAAAAATTGTTACATTTTAAGCAAGTGAGTGGAGGTTTTTATTAACAAGAGGTTTAATTCCTAACAATCTTCTTTTTTTTTTTTAATAAGCATAGGCATCTTGTTATTGTAAGTAATCATATTTGAAGCACTAGAGCACTAAATATGAATGTCTCTTTAAATGACAATTCAAACCTTAGTTAATTATGTTGTGAGGCCTAACTCCTTTCATTAGACCCAACCAATCCCATTCGAGGTACTGTCGGATATTAAATGTGGGCACCTATCCCCGCGAAGATTTGAACATTGGTTCGTCGCGTTATAAGGGATAAGCCCCTTCCACTGAACCTAATTCCAGTTGGTAACAATATTTAATATTAAATTTATTCATACATCTTGCAATAAAAGGCCTGGGATGGTCGTGCTGTGAGTCCAAATCACGGGATCCATAACTTATATCAACCCTAAAGCCTACCCTAAAGCCTGACCATGTGTCATGGCTAAAGATCATAACAACTTTTTAACTATAAGAATGTTGCAAAATTACCAACACAATTTAGGATTAAGTGTAGCTAAAAGGGTTAGTCCCTCAAAACGTAACAATTTAAAGTTTCTAAGGGTGTGTTTGGATAGAATCCAAACCATGGTTTCAGAAGTGCTTTTACGGATTACGAAGTAAATATGTGGAGGAGATTATCTCGTTTTGCGGAAAAGTGTTTCTAAAACCACGGTTTGGGGATACCCAAACAGGCCCTAATTCCTATTGGGAGAAATGCTTGTCAGTAACATTTAGCATCCTCTTCTTATTTATAATTCATCCACCAATTCCTGAGCTTTTTGTTGTGCTTTCAACACCATAATCTTTATTTTTTATGTCATAAATAAGATTAGGATGTTGAAAACACTAAAAAACTAACATCAAAATACTGAATTTAACTGAAAAATAATATTAGATATTCAATAAATAATTTCTGAAATTTTGGACATAAACTTTTATTTGAATTTACTGGCCGAAACAAATTATGATTTTCAACGCTCAACAAGTGTTTGTTTTTTTTGGTACAATGCTTTTTTCCAGGCTTTTTCTCCCTACTTATCATTACCAATCAAGCGAGCTCTAAAAGGCCCATAAAAAAGCCTTGGTTTCTTCGGCCCGTGGCTTCTGGCCCAATCAAAAAAGGCCCCACCCCCCCAAAACAGAGGCCTTGTTTTAGGTGACCAAGCATTCGTCTGCTTCGCTGCAAACAAGCGCAACATCCCGTTTCTTTGACATTTGATTTTGATTTTTAAAACGTCTCCCTCTTCCCGCCCGTTGCTAACAGTATCCCTTCCTCTCTCCTTTGATCCGTTGATCTGCTGACTGATCATCAATATCAATATCCAATTGTCTCAACTGTTCATGATTCACAGTTCTCTTTTCCGTAATCTGAACCATCTTCTCATTTCTGGTCCCTTACGATCTCTCTTCTGCCGCCGCTGCTTTACCTCTGCATCTGCAATCTGAAGCATTAGATAGAGATACGTCGACCATGAATCAGTACCACATCTACGAAGCCATCGGTCGCGGCAAATACTCGGTAACACTGCCCGTTTTGAGCTCTATCTTACTGTTACTTTCTTGCTTTGTCTGCTCGGGGAGATGATGTACTCTCTCTCTCTCTCTCTATGACTCTATTTATGTTTATGAACTTGCAGACCGTGTATAAAGGCAGGAAGAAGAAGACCATCGAGTATTTTGCGATTAAGAGTGTTGATAAGTCGCAGAAAAGCAAGGTTCTTCAAGAAGTAAGTCGTTGAATTCCATTTTCTATTCTTTGCCAGGAGCTTCGTGCGGGCGGGCGGGCGGGCGTGTTTTTTCCTTTTTTCGACACACATCTTGGGAATTCCAGTAAGGCGTCTGACTATTTAAACCTAGTGTACAAGTGTTGATAAGTGACTGAACCCACTTGACACGGAAATATCGAACTCTATCAAGTTCTACAGCATAATTTATTAGTATCATAATGGATTTTTACGATGAATTTCGGTGGAACAACCAGATCTAAAGGCATTTAAAGTCATCACTTCAGTCTGGACTGCAGTTATAGGCACGGTCTTTTTTTTGGTTCTGTACTGTCGGTGCTCATTCCTATAGTGAGCACAAAAGGTATATAATTATACTAACTCTATGTCAATGGGTAACCATGCTAAAAATGAGCTACTGCCATATAAAGAGCATGGCTTTTGGTAAGCAGCATGGTTTTTCCTTTCAAGTACTGATGTAATGCATAAAAGACACTATCGTTATGGCAGTGCTCTCCTCGTTTCGTGAATTGACCATACTCAAGACAGTTCTTTGAGTCTGTCTGTGGAAGTGACAAGAATTTTGGCTGTTCTTGAACTTGGTTGAACTCTATTTTTAAGTTATGTTCTATCATGTATGCTTTTATACCACTTGAAACTGGGATAAAGATCGCCAAATACTTAAGTACATCTCCCCATGCAGTGCAATTGATTCTCATTGACTAACTAAAAATAGTAGTTTCCTTGACCGGAATGCTCAAAATTCAAGTTAGGTTAGATAAACGACTTGAGCTAGTTTAATGCTTTCCATATTAAACATGCTTTAAATTTATCATAATCCTTTGATTATGTTGTCTGTTCTATATGCTGCCTTCTTTTTCAGGTCAGGATTCTTCACTCTTTAGATCATGAAAATGTACTCAAATTTTATTCTTGGTAATGCCTATCCTGTCACCGAGATAAATATTTGCTCCCAACTTAACTCCCCCCCCCCAAAAAAAAAAAAAATCTCGGGCCTCTTACAATATGGAATGTCAATTTGATGTCTAGGTATGAAACTTCTGCTCACCTGTGGTTGGTCCTGGAGTATTGCGTTGGAGGAGATTTGCTTGCCTTATTACAGCAGGTACTTTGTTTTATTACACATATATTATTGGGTAGAGCATCAAGACTGGAGAATCGTGCTTGTTATTAGTTATTACACGTAGAATTGTAGGAATTTTCATTTGATGCATGAATTTTTCAGATAGTAATATGTACACCTGAGTTCTGGGTAGATGTTTGGGTTCCTACGATCTGTTTAACTCATTTCATAAGTCTTTGTGATATAAGTTGGGTGTGGGACATGTGAATTTTGATAGAGATATTCCTTTTCTTTTTTTTTTTTTTCCCTCCTCCCCTTTTATGCTGGGCAGCTGACGAACGTCCAACAGTGAAAGTAGTTTCTGAAGGATGCTCCTATTACACTCGTAGTCTCTGAAGGATGAGAACCAACTACAACATATTGGTCTTTGTGAACCAAATGCAACCCTCCAATGAATATCTTTTTTAAACCTTTGTCAAATGAGCAAATAAAATTGCCAGCTTGTTATATTGCATAATTGATGGTTACATTTTGTTGGAAAAACATGTCGTAAGCTTGAATACTTTCTCATATTATTCAAGAATTTGTTCCTGAGGAGGTGAATTATTGGCCATCGTAGAACATTAATTTGTAGATGGTTTGCTTAGCAATTTTCTTTTTCTTTTTTTTAAGTTTGAAAATCAAAAGTCAAGGCTGTTCACATTCTTTGGATTTATTTCATTTCGTTTTAAAATTTAAACTGTTAATTTCTGGGGATGAATTCCAGGATAATCATCTACCTGAAGATTCTATTTACGATCTTGCTCATGACCTAGTCAAAGCTTTGCAGTATGTTCTGAAGTCTTTTTTCCCTTTCTCTATTCCTTTTCCTATTTCTTTACTAATTTTCTCACCGTTGGGTTGTATTGCTCTTGTATGCACTGTAAATTGCTATGAAACCAGGTACTTGCATTCAAATGGAATAATATATTGTGACTTGAAACCATCAAATATTCTGCTGGATGAAAATGGATGTGCAAAGGTCACTACTCTCTCTGTCTCTCTGTCTCTATCTCACACACACAATATCATATTTTTCGCTATGGAAGATAACTTGTGTTCTTTCTACATGAATATTGCAGCTTTGTGATTTTGGCTTGGCTAGAAAATTGAAAGATATATCAAAAATTCCTTCATCATCGGTATGTTTCTTGAAAAATTGAGATTGATATATCTTTATCCTTATGCCTTAATGAATGGCCTTTATTCAACGAATAGTTTTTTGACAAATTATATTCTTATATTTATACTTTACATTTCCAGTTGCCGCAAGCAAAACGTGGAACACCCTCCTATATGGCTCCCGAACTTTTTGAGGATGGTGGAGTCCATTCATATGCTTCTGATTTTTGGGCCCTGGGTTGTGTCCTCTACGAATGTTACACTGGCAGACCACCCTTTGTAGGAAGAGAATTCACTAAACTTGTAAAATCCATCATTTCAGATCCAACTCCACCTCTTCCTGGTAATCCAAGTCGCTCTTTTGTCAATTTGATTAATTCTCTATTGGTGAAAGATCCAGCTGAAAGAATACAATGGCCTGAGCTTTGCGGGCATGCATTTTGGAAAACCAAAGTGAATTTGGTGTCTTTACCGCCGCAACCTGCTTTTGATGATATGATAGAGCTGCATGCTAAACCATGTTTATCAGAACGCAATGGTGACAAATCCTCCCAAAACAGAACTCCTCCCAAATGCCGAGAAAAAGATATGAGAGGGTTGTTCAAGCAAGATGAGAATTCCATCATGGGACCGAGAGGTCACGATACACCTACTAGGGGTCCACCAAATGGCCATAAAACTCAAATAAAGGGTTTTGGCAAAACAACTGAGTTGAGGCAGAAAGATGCTTCCAATGCTAACAAGGCTATGAACCTTTTGAGACTCTCAAGAATAGCAAAATCGAATTTACAGAAGGAAAATGAGAAAGAGAATTATCGACGCCCCTTGCCTAATAGCTCTGATAATGACTCTGAAGTTAAAATTGAGAATACTGATATGGAACTTGATTTTGATGAAAATACAGAAGATGATGCACATGATGAAATTGATGGTTCTGATCATACAACTTCTGTGCCTGATGAGAAGATGTCCAATCAAAACCAAAAACAGGGGAAACCAGAGGAGATAGAAAGTAATATACATCAGCAAGACACCCCTTCTATTGTTAACACACCCAACTCAGACGATTCAAGGTCAATTGATCCGGAATCAACTCCTGAGCATCCTGACATGTCTTCTATCTCTCCCAGTGTGAGCCCTCAGGTCAGGAAGCATAGGGTTAAAGAAGACTTGGGATCTGCTTTTGATTCTGATTCTTCAAGGTCTTCCGGTAACATTTCCCAGGTTCTTTGGCATCAATCTGATCTCTCAGTCAGGCCTGTCATGCCCAGTAGAAAAATTGATAAAGAGGTCATCCCTTCACTTCCTTTTGAGGCTTTTGCTGTGTCTGATTTTGTAAAGATGTCAAAAGAACAATTGGATATTATCCAAAACCGAATTGTAGCAATTTTCAATGGGAACTCCATCATTGGGGAGAAACAGAATGTCATTAGATACCTTGAGATGTTGAGCAATAATGCTGATGCAGCTAATATCTTGACAAATGGGCCAATAATGCTCACACTTGTAAAATTGCTTCGTCAGTCCAAGGCATCCGCTTTACGTGTTCAACTTGCTTCGCTGATTGGTTTGTTGATACGGCACTCTACTTATATTGATGACAGTTTGGCTAATTGTGGAATTTTAAGTTCACTGACTGATGGCCTTAGAGACAAGCAGGACAAAGTGAGGAGGTTTTCGATGGCTGCTTTAGGTGAGCTACTATTCTACATATCAACTCAAAATGAGGACAATAGAGATAACAGTCAGCTCGAATCTCCGTTGAAGGACAATCGGACTACATGTGGCTGGCAGGTTAGCATTCTAGTTTATATATTGCTTTAGTTTGTTTGCCGGTTTATTTGAAGCTTGATTGCTCTACTTTCTAATGATCACGACGTTCTTGGTATGGTGCTATGTGTTTTTATATCTTGTTTAATCTAACTTTGAGAAATTTTTTATTGTTACAATTAAGGAGTTTTATTTGCGATCATTTTCGATGCCATTAATCGTCATTTTTATACAACTTCCAATGATTGCAGGTTCCAATTCGATATCTTTGTTTCATCGCTTTTGCGGAAGGGAGAGGATGACATAACGCAGTTGTATGCATTGAGGACGATTGAGATTTGCAGTCAAGGAGGGGTATGGGTGGGTCGATTTACTAGTCAATATCATTACCATTTGTGTATATATATAGGGCAGCAGGAAAACAAGAGCATGAGGCTTACTGCAGGGTCATGTTTGGTGCGCTTAGTTCGTTTCAATCCTTCTAGCATTCAGCCAGTTATTGAGAAACTCTCATTTAAGGACCTAGCATCTGCTCTTGTCAAGGGCGGTCCTCGTGAGCAGCAAATCAGCTTAAATCTTCTTAGCATGGCAATGCTTGGAAGTCATATGTTCTCTAATATTGGACGATACCTTCTGCAACTTGTTGAGGAAAAGAATTTGATCCCAAGTCTTTTGGCTCTTATCGAGCAGGGTAGTGAAGTTTTAAAGGGAAAGGCACTTGTTTTTGTTGCTCTTCTCTGTAAAGGCGGTAGAAGGTGGCTTCCACACTTCTTATGCAGTCCGAAATTACTTTCAGTGGTGGACAGGTTGGTAAAAGAGAAAGATGCCTTTGTGCGGCAGTGTTTAAATGCATTCTTGCATATTATAGCCTCTACAATTCCTGGTTTACTGGATACTATAACCGGGGATATCCAACAAATGATGGCAGGAAGGCGTCATGGACATATCTCTTCCCTTACCAGCAGATCTGCTCCAAAATCCAACATTCATTCATTTGTTCCCTGTTCCTTCCATCTTCTCTAGAAGTTCAATATTATTTAACACAAAGTGGCGACTCACCAAGTCTTGCAGCAATTGGCAAACCTTGTTAAGATCGTGGAGACACCATTTCAGGTCAGTGACTTGAGTCATTCTATCTTCTCCTCCTTCTGATGGTCTGGTTAGTATTTCTTCATCGGAATTTTGAGTGAATAAATGTAACTTTTGTACATAAAAAATATAGTCGTCGTCATCATCGAAGGTACTTTAATATTTTCCTATAAGATTTTTGTTATGAAAAGTAAAGAAATAGGAGAGAGAAAAAAGATAGACAAAGGAAAAAGAGTAATAGAAATAGAAGAGCAGAGGATCAAGAGAAACTGAATAATTTCTAATCACATTGCAAAAAACTGAGATACAAAGAATGACAAATACTATTTATAAGCAAAACCCCTAATAGATATTCCCTCCATTTCTTATTATAAGAGACATTTGATGCTTATGACATGTTCCTATATATAAGAGACACTTAAAAGTTTGTCTCTACTTTTTTTTGTTGATTTCCAATTTACCCATATTTATTGTCTCCAACTCACACTCTCTCTCCCTCTCATTTTTCTTTCTTTTAATAATTTAATTGTTATCTCTCATACTCTCTCTCCTTATTAATAAGGGCATTTTTGAAAAAAAATTATACTTTTTATACATTGATTGTTCTTAATTAATTTTAATGCTGTTTTTTTTATTAACGTAATTCGGTTATTCGTCTCTTATAATAAGAAACGGAGGGAGTATAAATCTAATTAAATATCCTAATATTATCTAAATATTATCTAGATATCCTAATCTATCCAAATCCTACTAATATAATTAAATACTATCTAAATCCTAATAACATTTATTTAAACCCTATTTATATCATATTTAAGTATTTTCTTATTTATAATTATAATTACATAACAATTTTCTTGGCATTTTTTAAAATATTGCTCAACTAACAAACCACTTGTTAGTCTTTGGCTCGATTTTTGGGGTTTAGTATTTAATGGGATGGGGACTTTCATTCACGGCTGCAGATCACATTAGTGGAAACAATGTTGACTTTCGACAAAATGAATGTTTGATAGTTTTTCTGTTTAATGATCTTCAGGGCAGAGATGACTTCCAAATAACCCTTCTTCGCATTATGGAGTCTCTAACAGAGGAGTCTTCCGTGATTTTTGGGAATCCTGACCTTTTCATCCGTGAAATCCTTCCTAGCCTAACTGTTCTGTACAAGGGTAACAAAGATGGTGATGCCAGATTTCTGTGCCTAAAGATTCTCTTTGATGTGATGGTCATTCTTTTGAGTGAACCGATAGAAGATGAACAAAGATTGAAGGACTTGAAGTCTGTCTCAAATACCCGTTTTCTACCTCTCTACCCGACCTTGGTTGAGGATGAGGATCCTATTCCTATGTATGCACAGAAGCTTCTTGTGATGTTACTGGAGTTCAGCTTTATTAAAATTCCAGACATTCTGCATCTGAAGACAATCTCACAGTGCTTCGAATTCTTGCTTGGTGATCTCTCAAATGCGAACGTTAACAATGTTAAGCTGTGTTTGGCTCTGGCTGCTGCTCCTGAAATGGATTCCAAGTTGCTCTCTCAACTAAAAGTAGTTAGGAGAATTGGCAATTTTCTGGAGTTCGTATACGCAAAGGGTATGGAAGATTTCTTGGAGCCAACTCTTGGGCTTTGCAGAGCCTTTCTTGCACTTTCAGTCAGAAGCGGAAAAGGCGCCAATTGCTCAGCAGAACTTACTCTCTTGGGTGAATGTTCTTCTGAGGCGAGTGGTGCAATTGACCCTCAACAATGTGTGAGAGATATAATGGACTTTGGAAGCAATGTTGGTGTCTTGCTGGAGTTGAGTGGATCTAATGAATCCAACATCGCCGACGTAGCTTCTGAATGTATAATTTTACTATTCAAGGCAGCTCCAAGAGAAGCCACCACTGGTCTACTAACCAAGCTCTCTAAGGTTAGTGTGATCTTAGAGTGCTGGCGAAAAGGCACCTCTCGCTTGTCGGTGCAACGAATGCTACATGCTTTAGGTTATGCTTGCAGGCAATACTTGTTTCATGCAATGATATTATCAATATCCATACCAGAAATTTCAAGAATTGAAATGATCATTTCCGAACTCAAAAGCTCAGGTGTCCATGATTTGGCCAGGACAGCTGGGTTAGCAGCTCTGGAGTTGCAGCGGTTGCCTCGCTGCATCTAACTGGAGCAAGAATCAGTCATTTCTCAATGTTAGTTGTTTACTTGTATCTTGCAAGTGAAACAAGTGTCAAGCAAGCAATCTTAAGGCATGGTAAGGTGAATTCTATTCATGCTTCGGAATCCCTTGTGTAATGTACGAGTTCTTTGTATCTTCATGAACCATATATATTGTATTTATTTCCTCGTTCTGTTTAACGCAGCCAAATTGGTGAGTAGGCTCTCTCTCTCTCTCTCTCTCTCCCCCTCTCCCCCCCACCCTTCTTCATTCCTGAACTTACGGCTCTCCATTGTCCGCATTATCGGAAAATCAATAACTTTGGGGTACCAGGTATCACGGGCTCAAAAGGATTCTCTTATCAACCTTTTCCAATCTTTTGTCTCTTACCAAAGGAACTCCAACTCTATTTCCATATCACCATCCAATAGACAATAGACCTTTGGGCCCACTTAGTCCCAGGACGATGTGACAGAAAGTAAAAAGGAGATCCCAAAGAGCCTCTGGTTTTTAACCATTTAATGATCGCAATCATAACCCCTCGCTAGCCAGCGGCAACACTCCAGTCTCCAGCTCCCTGAGAACATTATATGAGAAATTAGAATGGCCTCCTTGAGTTTATCTTGCACATATTCTCTTCATGATTTTCACGTCTCCACCTTTGCTTTCTTCAGCATCACATCCTAACACCAAAGTTCCCAATCTTTCTTCTTCAGAAGCAGCATTAGCAGACCCTCCTCTATCTTCTATGTCTTCTCTCCAAGAGCTATCCCCGGACATTGCTCCACTTTTGCCTTCAGATGGTGGCGTGTCGCCCATTCCAACTGGCTCCGATACAACCACCATTCCTTCAAGCCCAAGCCCTCCCAACCCAGATGACACATTTGCTCCTGGGCCACTTTCTGCGTTTTCACCATTTGGGTTATTGCAAGCCACCTCCGACGCCCCTAGAAGCATGGTTTGTAGCTCAGGGATGGCTGTTTTTGCCGGTTTAGCAGTTTTCTGGTCTGTGCAGGACTGGAGAATATGATTTTTCTTTTTTTTTTTTGGGGGGGGGAGGAGGGAGGAGGATTCCGGCGAGCGAGGCGCTCTACGGTAGATTTTCCCAGCTGTGATTATTCAGGAGCCTTTCTTTTTCTGTTTTCCTATTAAAGTTGATTGGCTGCGTCCTGTGTCTTTCCAATCAGATGCCCATGATTAAGAATTATTGATCCCTTTTTTGCATTCCTGTCTTCACCAAACTTTGTCGTGACTGAAATTAAGCGTGCATATTGCTAGCTTTTTTCAGTCTTCATAGTTTATCCGTATTAGTTGAAAAATTAGGTTAAATGATTGCTCAAGGTGACCTGTATTATGCAATCCATTTGATCTGATGGCTGAAAATATATAGTTAAGTAGATTTTAATGAAGATAAAATATATTTTATTTAAATGCAAATAGAACACATATTTATATATTTAAAGTGTGGAAATAATCTTGTTAAGAAGTTATAGTTTAAGTGAAATGAATATTTTAGCATTTTAAAATAATTTAAAATGTTTCATGATTACAGTAAAAAAATTTTAAGAAAACCCATTTAAAAGAAGGGATGCCTTTCAAGTTTCTACGTCTCAAGCTCCTGAAGTTGTGTGGGTCATTCTTTCTTCCTCTTTTTTTTGGCCAACCTTTTCAACTTTTCATTTTAAAGCTCGTAACAATGCTTCATCATTCTTAAAATAACACCTAACTTCAAGAACATCATAGGCATTTACCTTCAGAAGATCTCATCAACAGGAGGCTGGGTTGATTTGTACTCGTTTAGTGCAGGTTTTGTGTTGTGATCAGCCAACGCTTACCGTTTGGAATCAAAAGATTCGGCACAACTTGTATCCAAAAGAGGGGGGGGGGGGGGGAAGGATTGGGCACAACATACAAGAAAGGGCACTCAAAATAGACATTAAAAAAAAATGTTCTAACTTCTAACAGACTCAAAAAGATTACATATAGAAAGCACATGGGATTTTGTTAAGATTTTAGTCATCCAATGACAAAAGATGCGATGCGTCCGGGAGCGGGCACTTGAAACTCGTTTAGGACGCAAAAGAACTCCAACATCAAATCTTTTTTTCAACAGAATAAATAGCTTTCAGTTCTACAAAGATAAAGAGAGAAATACAGTTGCGCCTAGCAGAGTTTATATAAGAGATCTAGCAGTTACCAGATAAAAATCAAACTGAAGTATCAAGACAAATTTCGAAGTTTATGACCCCTTGCAACAAAATAACCCCCAAAAAAAAAAAATCCCAAGATGGCCATCATGCGCGCCCTCTATTTCAAGCACTCTTATTTTCCAGAAGATCTTCAATCATATCAGCCGCTTCTTGAACGGTGGTAATGGTCTGTGCACTCTCTTCTTCCACGCTAATTCCAAATTCCTCCTCAAGTCCCATCACGATTTCAACCTATACAATTTCAAAAACAAGTTTAAAATTCCAAGCAAAATATTGCAAAACACGCATACCAGGACAGATGTCATGATTCATGTAGAATCATGTTAAACATGATTTGGACTCGGGCATAGGGCAACCAAAGGAAGGAACAAGCCTCAAAGGCAAACAATCAGAGGTATTTCAATGACAACAATTGCAAAGTCACATAACACATATAGCTAGCTTTTCATATCACATAATAATTATGAAACATCTAGCCATTGCAGTAGCCAACTCTCCCTTTTATTAGGGAAGAAAGTCATATATGTAAGCAAAAAGGCTCTAAAAGGGTAATGATACTAGAGTAAAAGTTATTTAATAACTTGAACCATGATGAGAGTTCTCTAAATCCATACCACAACAATAGTTCATAATAAGTATCATTACACTACCGTGTCAAGAGAATCAGCTCCAAGTGCCGAAAATTTAGACTCCCCAGTGACAGGAGATTCATCTGACAGAGCCAATTGTTTCTTGACAATGTCACACACCTTCTGCACTGTCTCTGGTTTGGCCTGCCAAAGTAACAAAGTTTGGTCAGATTAGCACCATTTAGAATGTCTATATTCTAGTTTTTCAATACACAGTAGTTCTGACATTTGAAGCGGCACTTAGTCCTGAATTAAGTACACAATCACAAAACATAATTGATATTTCTAAAACAGAAATATTATTCAGGAAATAAATAGAAGCTTAGGCATTGGCCTTTTATCACCGAGATGATTCAGTGTATTATTCGCTTTCAATCACAGAAACTATGAAGCGTAGATAAGTGCTGAGCTGTCCGTAACTCAAATATCTTCTTTGAGCATGGGGCTAGAGATAAAAATAAAGTAGCTGGTATGCGTAAGCCATCTACATCACACTTTACAGTATTTTTATGTTCATAATATACATGGTTACATATAATGATTCAGTATCTATTCCATGACGCAAAAGGAGCAGGTGCCATAATTAACTCCATTTTATGGAACATCGTTAAAATGAACGTCAAAGACAAATATTCCAACAGTGAATTACTAAAGAAATGATCCCTCCACTAAGGCAGGTGACAATGAGTCAAGAGAAACCATGCAAGGGTTTATAAATATAACACTTACGGCACATGTAACTTGAAACCGAGGTACTCTGGGCTGCAATGTGATGGATGGGAAAGTTCTCCCTCTGATTGAAAGGGAAACTGAGTTAGGGCTTGAGATCCTGGAAGGGACCTGTTTTTTCATGGAAGAAAAAGGAATTAAACAAGTCCAGAAAGCTGACTACAATTTTATAACTGACAAAAAAAAAGGTTGTAGACAAGACTTCTCTTGTTAGTAATAAAGCAGATATAGCAGTTAACACAAAAATAAAATTATAATGATGCTATCATGTGGCGCTGAAGCTCAACAACCAATCAGCCATAATAAGTGCATTGTTAAAGGAAGATTTGGTGTTGCAGCCTTGCAGATTGTTTTGTCTAGATGATGATAAATGGCATAAAGCAATTAAATCTAAACCATCAAAATCACAGCATGCAGGAATAAACCCAAATGTCAGGTGTGATAAAAATTGCTTTAGAAGAATGAAAAGGTGATAAACCCAAATGTGCTTCGCTGTTAAGGGATCATTTCGTAAATTGTATGTTCGCTCTTTCAAACACTTGACCCGGAAAAAAATCTAAGAGGATTATCAAGAATGATCAAGAATTCTCACTTTCTATAGACCGCATATATTCATGAAATGGAGGTACGCAATACCCCAACACATCAGGCTATGAAATAACTTAAAGCATCGACAGTAATCCTGGGTAACCTAATTTCAATAGACGAGACCCTTTAATGAAACAGCTCTCCTTCGAAATGTAAAAGAACAGGGGGACTCCAAACCTGATACAGCGCTGACATAAATATAGAGTCTAAATACGCAGGCTATTATTCAACTGGGGCATTCAAACACACCACCAAGCAAAATTAACACCGTCTACTAACTATCTAAATAAAAGCTCGAAAACAAAACGTTCTCAACGTCAGCATATACACACTCAAAGGCCGAGCACAACAGATTCGGAGCAGAACATGAATCAAACACCATGAGAGCACATTTGAGCAGCATGAATCTAAGCAGATTGTATCTTAAACAGCAAGACGTTGGAGAGAAAAAGAAGAAGGAATACCAGAGGCTGCTTGAAAGGGGTGGAAAGGGAGGTCATGGAGATGGAGGTTGCAGTGAAAGACGCCATTTAGGAGAAACGCCGAGAGGGGGAAAGAGATCTGAGATCGGAGCTAGGAATTAGGGAATGGCGGAGAGCACAAAGAGTGTATATGAACGAGAGTGAGTAAAAGGGGGGTTCTTTATAACGACGCCTGGTCGATGGAAGGCTTCGTTAGTATCGAAGGTTGGACTTCGGAGTTTGGACTGTGTTCGGATTCGTTAGGTTCTCCACCTCACTGCATTGTGTCGTTCTCGCCTTTGGTTCTATCGTCGTTTTCCCTCCGTTTGGTTTGACGACATGACTTCCCTCCCCCTTCGGGCCGTGTCGTTTTCATGAAACGGTCACATTTCAATACGGCGCGGATTCTCTTATGTAGTATTTATTTATTTTTGCTCAAGATATAATTTCTGTATTAATAATAGTTCTAACTAATATATTTGATTAGTGATGATATTTTAATAAAAACAAAAGATATTTATTACAAATAACTAATTTAACTAATTTCTTTAATCTACTCAAATTAGTTAATTAGTTCTTATATTAAATACCAGATGAAGTATTAAAGAATCCACATCAAAAAAGAATCGGAAAAGGATTCATGATTGCAATCTTGCTTGGTTCACCTAAATTAAGATTCCAAGGAATTGAGAGTTTAGCCAGAGGACGGAACTTCCTTCTAAAATGTGTTTGATATTTTTTAACAACTCAATCCAATTATAATTGCTATTCTATTCATCGATCCGACTCATAAAACATAGTTAGGTGTTTGGATGGATTTGGAGAGGAAACTCTGAAATACAACGCCAGCTGAATTAGTCTTGGACTAAGGATAATCCAATTTGTGGGTAAGATGGCAATTAATAAAGTGATGGAGCACTTAGATATTACTTTTGATTCTTAATATAAGATCTCATTTGACTTTTATTTTGGTCATAAATAAAAGACTCAATCCACGAGCTCCATCACTTTATTAATTGCTAGAGATAAATAGAGCTGGGAAGAAAGGAAGCACATAAAAAATATATATATTTATATATATGTAGGTGTTTAAAATGATCCATTATCATTTTTTTTTTGGCCAACTGTCATAAATTACAACTGCTTTGCCTGTTATTATGAACTTAAATAAGATGGTTCTTTTTTTGATACCACGTGTTTCATTTGTAAGCTGCAACTCATGAATAATACGAAGATGACCATCTGTTTAATCGATGCCTCTCAAGCGTGCAACGCTTCTCTCGTAGTGCTATCACAAGAAGCAGTGCAGTGCCGTGAGATTTTGTGTTAATTAATACTTCATTCTTAATTAACTAATTTAAATAGATTAAGAAAGCTTATTAAGTTAGTTAATTATAATACATAGGTGTTATCTTTCATAGAATATTCTTATTAATCATGTTATATAAGTATAACTATCATTTAATATGTGCAATCACACAAACTATTTTAAAAAAATAGATAAATACAAGCGATAAAGTTAACTAAGTCTTATATTAGAATCAGATTAAATGTTAAATTAACTCTTATATTAAGGATTGGAGTCTGTATACATTAGAGACATTTTATCAATAAGTGAGAATTGGGTTTAGTGAAAAAAGTAATCCCTCGTAGTATGACGAATAAGGTTCGAACCCTATTAAGAGAAATACCTGCATTACATGATACTCCTCCGGTCCTATTATAAGACTCAATTGACTTTTTATTTGGTCCTAATTAAAGACCCAATCCATTTTCTCTCTTATATTTAACATTTTTTTCAAAGATAATTCTTTAATAATGATAGTTTAGCCAATAACTTAATTAGCAAGGATATTAGGAATAACAATATTTATTTATTATAAATAACCAACTTAACTTATTCTTTATCTCCTCAAATAAGTCAATTGGGTCTTATAATTAGGACCGTGAGTAATATTTCAAACATGGTTGCCTCCGATATCATTATGCATGTGTAGTGATGTATGAGAAGTCTAATTTTTCTATAAAGTGTATGTAAGTACTATTTTGCTTCAAGATACAATTATTATTCATTAGATCGAGTACTATGAATATAAAGTAAGCTTGGTGAGGCCGATTAACAGCCAGCCTCCTTCCAATGCTGTCCCGGCGGGACGCATTTTCATCCGCAAATATTAATAAATAAAATCATTTTGAAAGTATCTTTATTTTTTTTATTTTTTAATTTGATACTTATATGCTTTTTTTAATTAAATCTTTAATTTTGTTCTGTTAATAACATTAACTTTTGTATAGAGACTAATAATACTAACAGAGAAAAGTTAAAAGTTGTTGCTAAAAAATAAAATTAAGTGATTTACTTAAGAGAAAAAACACATAACTCCCAAAATAAAAATTGAGAAAAAATATAGGCAACTGCAATATGATTTTCTCATATTAATATAACAATCCAGTCTAGTTGTATTTTTCCCTTTACTTTACCTCTAAGACTAGAAGGTAGTTTTAGTTAATTTTTATATTTTAATGTAATAGCCTTTAATATTACAAATACTGTTATTTAATAATAGGATGGTTCAATCAAAAAATTACTAATTGTTCTGGTCAAATAAAAGATTACTAATTACCCTCCCAGCTAAAAGTTTTTTTAAAAAAAAAAATCTTAGAAATCACGCCTTAAAATACCAAAAATATCTTGTAATTTTGAACAGAGGGAGTTTTTTTTTTTTCCTGACAGTGTAAAACATGTTCACCCTCAGTTTAATGTCTGAAATTTCTTGCATGTTTGATTTATGAGAGAATATATGTGGACGAATTTTAAAAGGGAGGGGAGGTTTCTCTTATATAAATCTCTCTGTTTTTTTTTGTGGCCTGTTTAAAGCATGCATGGATTTTATGATCTTAATTAATAAATAAATTAATAAATCTTTGCTTGGCACGAGGGTTTCGTGAGCTTATAAACATCATTTTCCCACTTGTCACGTCTTCTAAGTTCTAATTCACGTCACACCTATTCCAGGTAAAAAGGCTACCCCGATCGAAAGGAGGAATAAAAAAAAGAAAGTGAAAAGAAAACTTTTTCTGATTATTAAACACTACAGAATATTTTTTATGTTTTTCCTTTTCTTTCGATATTTCAAAAGAAATACTTTAATTTGTCAAAGAAAGGGCGCACATAAAGAGGGAAAAGCTTAACAGCATTTTTCTGGCTTGCATTAAAAAAAAAAGTTAACGTTCCAAAGTTGCTGCGTTCGTTCTTTATTTTATTTTTTTTTTAATTATTCGTTTTTATGATTTAAATTGGTAGGTCCCAACATGAAGATGAAAGAAACAAACCAAGGAATAAGGGGATTCATAATCACCTAAATTAAATCATCACCTTATAAAGTTTATATGTCCATATCCCTAATTAGCTAAGCTGTAGGTAGGTGCGTGAGAATCCTTCTTTTTATTTTTTCTAGAATCACTTTGCCATCTTGGACTTTTCATCCCTCGTCTCTTGAAACTAATATAACGCAGACCATTGCATGGCATATGTCAAAATTGGAACTATATAAAGATCATCATTTGTCACTCGCCTCATAGTATTGGCATCATAAAAGTTTTCCTAGAGGTTATTAATTCGATCCCACTGGTAATTTCAAATTATTAATATTTATTTCTCTAATTTAAAAAATAAAGTAGATTAAAATTTTATATTTAAAATTAAATTAGTTTTTATACTCTATTAATCACAGTAGACAATATAGTGTTATTTTTTATACTTTATAGTTTTATAATTATTATATATTATGTGAATTGAAGTTGATGAGTTGTTAAACTGATACGTGACAGCTGGCGGATTTGGATCTCAAGCGAGCCGGAGCCGAAGGACATTATTAGAGCATAGTAATTTAAAGATATTAAAAAATGAGTCATAATTCCATTAAAACAAAGAGTTATGATTTTAAAAAATCACAAAATAAACCTTTGAAATTAAAAAAACATATATAAGAACCGGTTTATAAAAATTTTTATTTTTAAAATTAATACTAATATTATACCGAGTCCCTATTTATAATTTTTCTTTTTTTAAGGTTTTTTTTATCATGTTTCCTTATAATTTTGTTTTTAAAAATAAATAAAAATATTCAATAATAAATCTACATTTGTTAGAGACTAGAGAGGTATACGGTGGGGACGTAACGAACAAGAAAAGGTGAGGAAGAAAAGAAAGTAAGGAAAGACAAGGGAAATGAAAATGGAGGTGGACTGGAAAGGGAAGCAGCTGGTACAACCGCTTCCATCCACGTAACCGACGCTCTCACGTTTCTCAACGCTCTTCACTGCCCTCTCACTCTCTTCCTTTCTCTCAAAATAAATCCCCCTTCCATCTCTTCTTTCCTCTTCTGCTTCACCTCCACACCATCTCTCTTTATCTGCCTCGCTTCCCTTGTTCCATTATTGGATTTTTATCACTCTTGATTAGGGTTCCAGGTTGGTCTTTTCCTGATTTCCTTTTCGACATTGCTGTTCCTCTGTATTCAGATTTTTTTTTCTACTTCACTATAGTGTGTTTTCTGGATATTGCCGTTACCGCTGGGTGTCACTTTCTGGCGTTTCTATTTTCGATTTGGGTTCATAATTATGTTGCGCTTCCATGATCATGATGGTCCGGTGTAATAGATGTGGCGAGACTGTGCTTGGAGTCTGCATTTTACGTTTTTGAAAAAAATAAATGCTCTCCTGCTTGATTCCTCACGTGTGAGTCACCGAGTCATAGTTAAAAAGATAAACGTCCTGGTGTTGGTGATGCCTGCGAGCTTGGCTTGACTTCATGCGGCTTTTTCTTTCCCCTGTTCAGTTTAAATCGTTTTGAGACTTGTTATGTTTAAGCATTAGATACATGCTCTGAAGATTCTGGCTCTGTAATGAAGCTCCATTAAAATTATTTGATTATCTAACTCTGACCTTGGCCTTGACATGCTAGCTTCACCGGATTAATTTTCATCTTTATTGTCGACGAGCCATGACTACAGAGCTTCTGGAGATTGAACCTCATGAGCTTAAATTTTTCTGTAAGCACCTCCACGTCCATGCGATTTCTGTAATTTGTACACGAGTGTGGTATAGTATTTTTCATATAGATCACTGTTTCGCGTAGTGATGGTGACTTGCTCATATTCTTCATTCTTTGTAGTTGAATTGAAGAAACAGAGTTCATGCTTGGTTCAACTTGCAAACAAGTCGGATCAGTATGTTGCATTTAAGGTGTGGTACATATCAGTGTTTTGTTTTGTTATTTTTTTCCCGGTTAGTATCGGCATCTCTTTGTTAATTGCAGCAATATCTGCAATCTATGATCTTTTCTGGTATCTCTCTGCATAGTATGTATGATCAAAAGTAAATCATTTCTTAATTGTCAAGAAACATTTGTAAAATTTACAAGCACATCGGCAGGTGAAAACAACGTCACCCAAGAAGTATTGCGTGAGACCAAACATAGGCATTGTTAAGCCCAACTCAAGAAGCGATTTTACTGGTATTTGCCTATTATCCCTTCGTCCAATCTAACATCAATTTAACTCTCTTTTTTTCCCTTTAAATCATGCTTGCTTTCGAGATTTTACTGTGTATGGATGGACCGTTGCTCTGCATCTGTGCCTGTTACACATGGCACAGATAATAACTACAACAGCGCAAGCATGATTTGACTTTTTTTTTTTTTTGGTTACATGCAGTTACCATGCAAGCTCAGCGCTTAATGCCACCTGGTATGGAGTGCAAAGACAAGTTTTTGATTCAAAGCACGGTTGTCCCCTCCGGAACAACAGAAGATGATATTACATCTGACATGGTAACGTTATATCATTAATTTCTTCTATCCAAACCTTAGTCTCCGGGGTGTTATAGGTGGCAAGGATCAAGAGTTTAGTTATGTGTGTGTGTGTATCCTTTTCCTTCTTGTGTTTCTTGATTGATTAAAATTCTTTCTCCTTTGACAGTTTGCAAAAGTTGATGGGAAGCTTACTGAGGAGAAGAAACTAAGAGTTGTCCTAACCAGCCCACCTTCCTCCCCAGTATTGCTTCCAGTGAATGGAGACACGAAGCAGGATCCATCCAATGAAATTCATTTGCAAAGAGATAGGGTGTTGCCTAGTGGAGTTGAAAACATCCCTCCTCCTACGGTGAGCTATTCCCCTGTCAGAACTCTATCACCTTGTCGCTTAAGCTGTGTGTTTCAAACCTTAATCTCCCTTCCCTAGCAGTTTCTGGAAATTCAATGGACACAGTAACGTTTTGCGCTTGTCAGTTTTCTGATAGCTACCTTATACATGGATAGATCTTTTTACCCCGGGTTTTTCAATTAGGTTAACCTGATAGCAAAGAAGAATTTTGTGCACCCTTGCATGAAATCAAAGTCTCACTCTGTCTGTATTCCTTTGTACCAGGATGCTGAGGATGTCAAGGGTTTTGAAACAGCCCAGGATATGGGGCAGGACAGAGCAATCAAGAATAACGTCTCAGGACAAGCTGAGAATGTAGATGATATAGAAGCGAAAGATGCTCTGCAGCTGAATTTAGCCAAGGATTCTGAGGAATTGAAGTCAAGACTAAATTTAATGGATTCAAAGCTAAGAGAGGTCAGAGCTTCTAAGTTTTGATTAAATTGGTTAAAATCATGGTTTGGAAACCTTTATGTTAAGTTCTTTAGCCCATATGTTGCAGCCAGTTAATATAATTCTATCACAATGGCTGGTGATTGGAATGTCACTGTTCTTTATGATTTTCTTAGCAGGTCGTCCAGTTATTGGATCTGTTTCCTTGGTTTGCAATCAACTGATGGTTGTAAATCTTTGCAGGCTGAACTTGTCATCAAGAAGCTCGATGAAGAGAGAAGAGTGAGTACCCAAGAAAAAGATATGCTTAAACATGAATTGGTAGGTTATTCTTCATTTAATATTCGTCACTGTCAAGACTACATGAATTCTGCTTTTCGTATTCTTTAGCTTCTTGTGCAAGCTGAATAGAAACTGTAGAGTTAAGACGATATAAAAAGCAGAGAGCTTGTAGTTCTTTGTTAGAGGTCTTGGTTTGCATCTCTTTTTGCAGCTTAGTTTTTCATTTTTATTTTTAGCCAAGTTTTTCAAGGGAGAAACTAAAAGATGTGGCTTTTATGGTTTTACCTAAGCATCAACATTTTCTCATAAAGGACTTTTAGTGAAAGGAAGAAAAATATAATCCTTCCATTGAGAACATATAGTAGGTGGTGTTGTGATTGTCTGATTGGCAGTGCAGAGTAAATGTTTTGATACATCAACTTCCTATGTTTAATATTAAGCTCATTAAATGTTTCTCCTGATACTATTGATTGTTAGATACATAATGACCCTATTACATCCCTGATTGAAGCTATAATATTCATTATAGCTGCTGTGCAACCATTTGATTCTGGTTTGTTTGACCTTTCTAGGAGGTGTTGAAGAGGAGAATCAATGCCAAAAATGTTCAGTTGGGCTTTCCGTTACTGTATGTTTGCATGGTCGCTCTTATCAGTGTGGCAGTCGGATACTATATTCATCCATAAGAGAGAGAGCTCTCTGCGTGCTTACAAAAATTCTAAAAAGTCATTGTTGTCTTTTACTGTTATAGAGAGGATGATTCATTGTGTATTATGGCGGTACTAGTGGGGGAAATGTTAATATGTGGGATTGGAACCTTTTGTGAAAGACATGTAAAGTGAACAGTGTGTGTGTGTGTGTGTGTGTGTGTAAATGAACTTCGCCGTTCAATGGGAAGCATAATAAGCAGCCATCTGGTATTTTTATCTAAATTTATGGGTTGTTTTAAAACGTTTTTATAGACACGGCGGCTTACCTCAAAATCATGAAAAACAGAAAGCAAAATCATTTTTAATTATGATCTTGGAAACTTGTAGTCTTGTACCGATTTTATATTTTTAAAATTTAAAGTATTGCAATCATGGATTTCATTTAATAGCTATAACAAGAAACCGGGGGAAGTCAGGATTTAATTGAATTCCATAGTATAAAATTGCATAAAATGTATTTAATTAGAATTCCATGCCTCTAGCCAATCCTTTCCCTCTTGATCACTGGCAAGAAGGTAGCAAAGAAAGGTCTTGATTTAATCCCTTAGAATTATATGGTCATATTTATTGTTTTCTTGAAATTTAAATATAATCATATAATGCTGAATAAAACAGTTAAAATAACTTGGCAGACAGTTATATTTACTTTACATATGTCCCCACTGCGGGAAAACTTATACTGAAATGTTCAGTCAGGCCGAAACGAAAAGGAAAAGCTCTAGAAACGAGAAAGTTGTGCCCTGAAAGCAACGGGGATGGATAATATGGAACGTGAATGTAAAAGCAACCCTTTCATCAATCATCTGTATACGCTTACAAAATTTTGCCTTAGAGGAATCAAGTTAAAAACTTGCAGGCAAGCAACCCACTCTAATTGTTAGCAAAAATCAGTAAAGTAAAAGCAAAGGTCAAAAAACCCAGTCCAATAAAATAATGTCCACACTCCTTTCTTGAAATGTCCATGTTTTCCTTTCTCCATATTTTTCTTTCCCTTTTCATATCAACTGAGGTAATTTTTCTTCTCTTTTTCTTTTTTCTTTTTAAAGGAAAAAGGTATTAAACAAAACTGCACACCGAAAACCAGTTCTCCACACAACAATCTTGTACCTTACTTAGAAGAGCCTCGAAGGAACTCAATTTATTGCCATTGGTGAACACTCTGCTCAAGGGGTGAGCCAGGAACAAAGGGCACAAAACCCCGCCCACCGAAAACAGGTCGCATGACAGCATCATCAAACTTTCGCCAATAATGGTGGACGCCCCTAGTAGGTAAGCTCAGTAGCAAGCGCAATCTGCTAGGGCGATGGCCATTGTGTGTGCCACCATTACCCTCTGATTCCTGGCCATTCTCGAGAAGTGGCACCACGAACGATTTGGGAGTACCCGGTGGGGACGGTATGATACTCTTATGTTTTGAAATAGGAAGCAGTAGCCTCACAAGTGGCTTGGTCATCAACCCAAACACCTGCACATGTCAACGTTGTCAATTGATGTTTGTCTTCCACATTCCAATAAATGATTGGGAATCTTGACTAGAAATTCATATCAAAATTAATACGCCTCTTCCGAATTCATTTGGTAAAATATGGGGGACAATCAACGCCACTAAATCATCCCTGGACCCAGGAGGAGGCAGGCGCCAGTCCCACTTCCCGTGACAAAAGCTTAAATCATATTTGCTTCAAATACTACTGATGTAAAATCAAATGTATGAGACGATCGAGGTACATTAGAAAATGATCACAGCGTATCTTACCACAGTGCTGAATAGTATAACTATGATGGTACTGGTGATCATGATGGCATTCTCACGCAATTTAGTATAGCCTGACCGGGTGAACTGCGTGTGAAAAATGGAGCTCATTACTACCTAATATTCTGCCATGATCTCTAGAACTAAGTCAGAATCGCAGCCCAGAGAGGTGAAATGAGAAGGGAAGTGTTTGGTTCTTCACCTGATTATAGGCAAGTGCCATAGAAACTGCTCCACGCATGAGACCGGCCCACCAGATCGTCACCTGCAAAACAAGGATCCTTGGAGGATTGTAATTACATCAATTGATTACGATATCCCGTCCTTATAGATGGAAACAGGAAAGCTCATACTTGTTGCTTTATCTCGATTTTCCCAGATTGCGACTTCTTAGGCAAGTTGGCTAAGAACGACAGAGGGAAAACAAATGCTGCTCTTCCCACTAGGATGAGTGCCAATAGCAATGAACTGATCCCGATTGATTTTCCAGGGCTAAGGAAATGATGGAGAAGTTAATTCCATATTTATCTACGTTGTACTAAACGAAGTTAATTCAATGCAGTCGATGTTCATTCAGAAAACTTCTAACCTTTGACGGGCAAACCTCCACTTCTCTATATCCAGTGCATCCATCCCAACGTAGAGGAAGATAAAGATCTCGGCAATGAGAGACAAAGTCGCAAAAGCATGTCTGAAAAAGGCAAAATGAAAATTAAAAAAATAAGAGTTTTGACTGCAATCTTCTTTAACAAATGAGTCTGAACATGAACTCCTTTCTTCAGCTATTTGAGAAGAAAAAATTAGGAAGTCGGAGATTTGACATACTTAGTTGTAACTCTTGAACTTTCAGTCACATTATGCCACGTGTAGTGAGACATGACAATGCCGCAGAAGAACACTGTCAGAATGGCACTTAAATTGAATAGCTGCCAAGAAGAAAAAAATTGGTGAATATAGGCACTATGTTACTACAAGAAGCATGGAGGAATCTCAGTTTACTACAAAGAAATGACCATAACCAGAGATTAAGTCTTACTTCCGCTAGCATATATGAAAGGTAGGCCATGAGTATCATGAGGGCAACCTCACGGTCCGTAGAATGCCTGAATTTGAGAGGGAAGAATTAGAGAATTATCAGCGTGATTCATCGAAACCAACAAATTTGCATTAGACAGATTCCAAAATCATTAATCATATCACAGAATGACTTCTACTATTTCATTGCAGCGTCTTTCTTATTTGGTTAATTCAATTGCTTGCTCAATACTCTAGCTGCTAAACATATGTTCTCCTTTTGAAACTAGCAGGAATTGAATTCTCCCCTATTGAACTAATGGCAATCAGTGACAAAATCAGTTCGCTCTGGCTTTACCAACCTGCCAAAATAAAGCTTTTTTATGATGAATGCGCTAAGCAATCCAGCCTGAAACGTTAAAACAAAATCTGAGAAAACCAATTAAGCGCTGTGAAGTAGATAAAAGAAGAGACTTACCAAGACTCCCAGCACAGTGCTTGCTGTAAATAAGTAGAAAAAATTTCCAATTAAGTGGAAACCAGTAATCAAGTCGATGTGAGAAAGGTCAAAGTTCTGGATTGCTTTCAAGAGCACTACAGATGTCGCATCATTTACGACCCCTTCCCCAAAAACCAGGCTGTACAATAAAGGTGTCTCGTCCTGATTAAGCACCTGAGACATTGGATTTGAATATCATGTGAGGAACTATTCTGTATAACTAAGAATAAAGGAACTTTGGAGTTTCACATTAAAAAGAATTTATACCTGCAGTGTGCAAACAGAATCTGTTGCTGAAAATATTGCTCCAATTGCTGTATTAAAGAGACTCGGGTAAGTAAAAAATAGAAGTTAAAGAAAGGTGACCAAAGTCGAAGCCTTGTAAGAAAACATTCGTACAGAAGGAAGTTCATTCGACCATACCCAGATAATCTCCGAGCTTCAGGGATCCAATATCCAATTTTGGGAAAAAGTGTATAGCCCCTGAGTCAAAACAAATAAGTGAGATTAATAGTGATCTAAAAAGAAAATTGCACGATGCAAAATTTTTCCCTGTGGCCTTAACAAATGACAGGGTCGACGTAAGATGGGAATTAAAGCTCCGAGAAAGAAGTACTCCTTTGAAAATTTGTAGATAATAACAGGAAAGTTTGCTTTCTTTTGGCACAGATTCTCGGTACTTAAATTACCTAGCGATATGATGCCAAAAGATATTAAAGTGCCAACTGCACCAAAAAGCATGATTGTCATAAAATTGCGAAAAAATTGCTTCTTCTTCACCTGAAACCTGTTGAACATCAGAAGAAAAGAACAGTATTTGCTATCAGCTATGAGACTGTCAAATCTATTTAAAATGAAAACTCTTATGAGTTGCGGAGATGTAACTACATGTAATTACTCTGCAAATCGCGTACTGTATATAGGTTAGAGCGGACTCAACTACTTTCTTCGAAATAATAAATTGCCTAGTTTTGTTCTGATAGGAAAACAAAAACAAGAAGAAAAAGGCTCTAGCTGAAAGGAATATCAAGTAAGAGCAAACAACTCACCCGGCATTGAAAATGATAGGCGGCAGAAGGTAAATAAAGAAAAGATCTTCACTGAAAACTAATATATGGGAGCTTTTTCCTCCAGTCGTAAGCAGGATAAAAATCCCAGTGCAGAGACCCTGCAATCGGCCCACGCAGAAAGATTATATCTAACTCACGAAAATTAAATTCATCGTCATCGTAATGCATTTAGAAAAGCTGGAGAGCTTGTGTGCAGTAATGAACTCACAATAACGAGAGCAGTGATGGATTCGTTAATCCATCGGTTCTCCTCCAGCAAATGACCGATTACGATGCAAGCACAAAGAAGTGCCACGAATAGGTTCATTGAGACCACTGAAGCATGATCAGATGTCATCATTGTCGTTAATTTCGTGATCAATGCTTCGACAGCCATATTAATAGTAGCCAAGTCCCACAGAGTCAAGAAGAAGAAATCAGAATTCGACTTCTTTTATAGTGAAGTTCCACCTCAAGCTTCAATACAGCACTCACATGCTTGCAGCATTCTCGTCCCGGTTCTTCAGCCAAATCTGCCAGATTAGCCAATGTTGAAAAATAAATAAATATTCGTGTTCTCAGCTTTCCCTGCTAGGCTGCTGGGAAAACGACGTGCAAATGTCTCCCAGCGCTATCACATGTGAGCTCGGGACCACAAATATTGAATTCGATCTACTCATCACCTTCCCAAATTGAAGAATAAAACCATGTGATCTATAATCCATTCTGATTTTTTGATAAGCAGAATTATTGATCACGTTCACAAAATAGAAGTGAGCAAAAGCATTTTTCCATTATCTTCTTGGAATTTTCCCACATTTTCTCACCTAGCAAACGCATTCTGGTAGTGAGGTGATTTACACACTCATCATCACGGGCTAAGTATGCATGCACTGAAGTCTGAACTATAATAAGAAGAAAACAAAATCTCCTAAAAATGATTACCACTTGAAGTTTTCAGATTCAAATGAATCTTCCAACACAAATTGGGCAGCCAAGAGGAAAAAACTCGAGTATCTTAGAGAGAGAGAGAGTGATTTACCGCTGAGAGTGAGACTTGAGAGGGACAGCGATAGAGCGCGGGGAAGATGCGAAAAGAACGGCCGGGAATGACGCTATTATATACGGATTCATTGAGAGTAATTTCTTTTTGGGGGGGGGGGGGCACACACACACAGAGAGAATTGACTTTGACCGTTGATCAGGAGTTCCAGCCGGGGGCCATAAAATTCAACGGTGAGATGAGATGGTACTGTGGTTGTGAATGTAGGCAATACTTGCGTTTTCTTTTCCATTGGATACCCAATGGAGGCAGATGAGTTTTGGGGAACGAAACAGGGTCATCCCTCATTATTGTGTCGTCCAACCTTTCTTTTCTTTCCTTTTTAATTTAAATTCACACCGTTATTTCTTTTCTATTAATTTTAATTTTTTTACTAGAAATAGTATATCAATTTTTATTTCCTCTGATTTATTTTCCTCTGATTGACATATGTGTTTTAAAATTTTTTAATATGTAGAATAATTTTATTTATAATTTTTCCATAAAAACAATTGAATATTATGAGCAATTATCATGGTTTTTACTTTTAGCAGTGGTAGTTTTGTAAAGTATTATATCAAGCCAACTTTCATTGAACTAACATTTTAAGTTATATAGCAAACAGAATATATCAGCGCGAACATGCGGACCGTAATAACATACAGAACAAAAAATTTACTCCTATATATGTACACATAAATTTAAGAAGTGTTTTGTTGGCAAAAAGAGCAGAGAAATTAGGAAGTGTACTTTTAATTATTAAAAAGAAAACATTATAACTGTGGATGAATCATATCGCAAGCTTCGTCCCAAGGTTAGTGTCTTCATTTAGGTTGAATACACTATTTAGGCCTTATTTAAATTAGTATTTGAAATCTTAAACCTCATATTTAAATACACTATTTACACCTCATATTCTATAAATAAGTTATTTATAAATCATTTTAAACCCGCCAGTCGTTTGGGTCGCGGAAGGTGCAGTCACATAATGGCATAAGGTAGGAGTGATATTATGAAAAATGAGGAGGAGACCTTTTCTTCCAACATGAGCACGTGCGGACAGTCGCTGCAACCTCCACGTTGCAATACCGTGCTCAATATTTTCCCCACAATTTATCTCTTTCCAAACTTTTAACAATTAATTGTTTAAACAATATTTTTTAGGGTTACACCCACTTCCTTATATTTTTAACAAGTTTTTCTTTTATTCTTTATATTATACTTTCATTGTTTTTTTATCCATACTTTTTTACTAGACACATATACAGTATTATCTTATTAAAGGCACCTATTTAAGATACTGTCGGATACTTAATATAAATATATTTCTGATGGGAATTGAAAATTTAGTTCTTTCATATACTTATGTCATGGAAAACATTAGTTTTTATAATTTGATAAGAACTTGGATATAAGCTTAGCAATATTAATTCTATTAATACATCTAATACACTTTTTATATATCTATAGGTGTTATATTGGATTTGAATCATCTATGAGGTTAAAGCCAAAATTCTTTGAAAATATGTGTCCCGAAACATGACTGATAAAAGAGGAGGGGATTAATATTTATAAGAATTATTTCCCAACTCAAAAAAGCAAGGCCTTTGTAGGAAGTGTTGTATGTAAATTAAGGTAGACTAAATTAAATTAATATGGCTGCTTTTGTAATATTCCTCCAATCCTTAATATAAGACCCATTTAACTAATTTGATTAGATTAAGAAAATTAGGTAAGTTAGTTAATTATAAAAAATGTGACATGTTTTTCCTAAAACACCATAATCATCTTTTTAATACCTCCATTTCCTTCTTTTACTTGATTATGATTGATGGAGTATCTATAGGGATAATTTAGAGAAAATTGATAAATGTGAAAAATAAGTCTTAAATTTAGGACTAAAACCAACTCAGTAATTAAGTCCTATATTAAAATCAAAGGATTATTTTTGTGGAGGCACATACCGGGTAATGATCACGAGGGCTCAGTTGGACTCAGAATTCCAACTCCCACAACACACAAACATCCTTCTTTTTTATTGTCTCATATTTCAACGCAACCTCCAACATTGATTAATCTCTCTTTCAATTTTACCATTTTTCTTTTAAATTTTAAAGAGTGGTTCGTTAGTGTTTTTTCTTAGCAAAGTTTGAAATATGGGGTTAGTCAAAAAAGAGAAAACTGAGTGCGTATTGTTAATACGCGGGAAGGGGGGGCATGAAGAACCAAGGGATCATGATGTCCAGCGTGCGAGGGATCAGGGGCATCATTAGGGTTTGTGGAATCATCCCTAATCCACTGACACGTGTTCTGGGACCCACATGGCACTTCATGAATTACGGCATCAATTGACAAGTGTCCACTAAAGTCAGTGGGGCCATCATCCCCTAAACACAGGTAATCATCTCTGTTCGACTCACCCGTGGGCGTCGGATGCATCATGTCTTCCTCTTTCTGTGTTTTATTTGGAGGCTTGGTCTCTCTTAATTATGCTGCCGCTTCCTGGTTTACGTTAATAATTTTTTAATAAAAGGATTAGATTTAATTTAAGTGCGATTTTTTTTTTTTCCCAACGCAAAAGAAAAGTGAAGTCATTCTAACATTTCACATTCATGCTCTTGAGATTATTGTGCTGTCTTCCTCACTTTTGATGTTGCAGATTTTTTAAGTGTTTTTTCCCTTAAAGTGAATGTCTGATTGTAGTTTGGATCTAGTAGCGGCCCAGCTTATGAAGTTATGGGTCAAGTGAGGTCCATTACGCCCAAAACTACTGTTCCTGGGTTTTATTCTCTCCCAACCCATTCCTCTTAACCTCATGGACGCCAAGCAATGCAATCTTTAGGTGAAGACCAAAACTCAAGGACCCACCTGAATTGAAGCCTCAGAACTAAAGTCAATATTGACTTATAGTTTGTGGTCCAAAAGATTTAACTTTCTACCTGAAATAAAACTACAAATATTTGTTGATCAAGCAAAAAAAAAATTGTAATAATAATAATTTTGAAACATGTAACATACTAAAATTATAATTATAATATGTTTTTTTAAAAAAAGTGAATTTATTTTTGAAATATAAAATGTGTATACTTAAATTAGCAGCATATTCATATTAATTAATGACCGTGGAAAGTATAGGGATAGAAGTGCAATATCCGTGATGTGTGAGCGGAGAGATTTGAAAAGAGAGAAGAGGAAATAAGAAAAGATGAAGATGATGAAGTCGTGAACTTGGGCGGTAAAGTAAAGGGGAAGAGCGTTGGTGGCTCCTGTGAGTTGCATTAATTTAAAAGAGGCGAACTTGTGACTTCCATTACCTTTTGGGAGCTTCTCTGATCATCTTCTCCTCTCATTCCACACCTCTAAACTATATAACTCGTATCTTTCCATCTGTCTATCTCTATCCAATCCTTTTTGGCTTCTTCTTGTGATATATTATATAATCATCTTCTCAAATCAATACACTCTTTTTTCTTCCGCATAGATCTGCATTTCTGCATGTGAGGTACGTACCCCACCTTTCCTCCTTCTCTCTTCTACACTTCTCCTTCTGACCCCACCATCCCTCTTCCTTGTCTCCTTCCATTTCCTGATCAGTTCTCATCCATCCCTCTTGTTATTCACTCTCCATCTTTGTCCTTTCATCATTATCCCATCAAGTTTTTTTACCGACCTGCGTGTGTGTGTTTTAACCCTGGATTCATTTTGAACTTCATGAGTTTTTAAAAATATTGTACATAAATCTTCAAAAGATTCACCTGGCAAGGAGTTCGACTTGTCCAGAGCGTCACCGCGTTTGTTAATTTATTTGTTTTTGTCAGGTGGAGGGGCCCAAGAAGACTTTTTTTTTTCTCTTACTGGGATCTGTCGTAACTGAAGTGAGAGCTAGCAGCTAGGGTTTCTTCCGATTAAAGTCATCTCCTTATATATAAAATGGAGAAAGATCACGACAACTATCATTCGGTACACACATAACATAGCTCTCTCTCTTTTCGGTTTCGTTTTGCAGGATTCGAGGTTTGCATATATGTGTCGTCAGATCTTTTCACAGTGTTAAGTCAAATGTTGTTTTGCTCCAATCTTGTTGAATCACCACTGCAGGCTCCTTCTTTCCCCCAAAGCTTTAACGCTCTGCCGCTGGACAACTCCCAGTCTCAGTATCATCACAATCTCATGAAGTTTCGGATCGGAGAAGCTTCCGGAGAAACCAGCCACATGAATAATAGTGGCATGGTCGATTATATGCTCCACAACAACAACAATCCTCCTTCTCAACAACAACCGCCTTGTGGGTTTTATGGTGCGCCCGCTGGTTCTACTTTTGATAAGCTGAGTTTCGCAGATGTGATGCAGTTTGCAGATTTCGGACCCAAGTTGTCCTTAAACCAGACCAAGAATTGTGCCGAAGGAGAAGAAGATCAGTCTGGGATGGACCCAGTTTTCTTCCTCAAGTTCCCTGTGTTAAATGACAAGTCGTTAATGGAGGATCAGAATCTGATGGGGACTGGTGCAGGAGAAAACGTAGCAGAAGAAGGAGTGAGAGATCAGGATGAAGTAGAAGCTCGAGGTGTCTCTGATAGTAATAATAATAAGTCGGTGCACCAACTTGGGTTTGTAGGGGAAGACATGGAGAAGAATCATAGTAACCCTACAAGCACAGTGCAAGAGAACAACAACAATACTAATAAGAGCAAGAGAAAGAGACCCAGAACCATCAAAACCAGTCAGGAGGTAGAAAGCCAGCGTATGACTCACATCGCCGTCGAAAGAAACCGTCGGAAGCAAATGAACGAGCATCTTCGCGTCCTCAGATCCCTCATGCCAGGTTCTTACGTCCAAAGGGTTCGTACCTAATTACATATCTCATAACCTTTCTTTCTTCTTCGATCTCGTCATCGTAATTAAAGGGTTTTAATTTGGTACAGGGGGATCAAGCTTCTATAATAGGAGGAGCCATAGAGTTTGTGAGGGAATTAGAGCAGCTTCTTCAGTGCCTGGAGTCACAGAAGAGAAGGAGGTTACTGGGAGAAGCTTCAAGGCAAGCTGGGGATTCTTCTCTTGCAGTACAGGCGCAGCAACAACAACAAGCTCCCTTTTTTCCACCTTTGGGAGCTTTGCCAAATGATCAGATGAAGCTTGTTGAGTTTGAGAGTGGGCTCAGGGAAGAAACAGCAGAGAACAAGTCGTGTCTGGCTGATGTGGAAGTGAAGCTTTTAGGGTTTGATGCGATGATCAAGATCCTATCAAGAAGAAGACCAGGCCAGTTGATTAAGACCATTGCTGCACTCGAAGATTTGCAGCTTATTATCCTCCACACCAATATCACCACTATTGAACAAACTGTTCTTTATTCTTTCAATGTCAAGGTATGCAAGCTAATTGAAGATATGTATAAAAAGAAATGTTTTGTTCTGAAATTTTAATAACTAATTTGTGTAAATTAATAATGGCTGGGCATGGGCAGGTTGCAGGCGATTCAAGGTTCACAGCGGAAGACATAGCCAGCTCTGTGCAACAGATATTCAGTTTCATTCACGAGAACACTGGAATGTAATATTATTATCATTATATTGTTATTATTACTTTGTTACCTATGCCAATTATATATGACATCTATAGATGATTTGGGTTCATTCATATTCATCGATCTCTCCCAAAATTACAGCACAATATACATACGATGAATAAAAAACCTACGCAAAAAATTGGAGAGAATAATTAATATATGGTAAAACTTCCCATTATTTAGGGACGTGTCTTCCTCTATCAATTTCAAACTTATGAGTAGATCACGGGTAATTTTGCCGGTGCTTCTAAAAAATTCCCATCTTATTACGGTCAGTGAACTATCGGAAGACACAAATGAGGAATTAAAGAAAGCTACACAATTTTTTTCATCAATAAATCTTCATGTGCATATATATGATCTATTAAAAACTAATCAAATTGTATGTGCAAAGGGGATATCCGCCATCTTTTAGAGAACAATTATCTTCCCTCAAAGTTCTAGCTAAGACTCATGATTAATTAGGATATTTAGTATAAATAACTAACTTAACAAATTTTTTTAATCTAGTCACGTTAATCAACTAATTCTTATATTATAGATTAATAGCGGTGGGAAATGTGGCAGAGAGTCATGATAAGGACAGGTTATTGAATTCTGGAGTGTGGTTGAAGTGCAGAGGAGATGACCACGATGATTGATGAGTTGGAAAGTCAACGGTCCCTAACCATGTTGGTTTCTGTGTCGTTGACCTGTCAGAAATGATTACTTGGTTGGAGATATTAGGCTAATTCAACTCTCAGAGACAGCCAGTGCTTTGTAGGGTCTCTCAATTATAAATTGGAAGCGAGCGGATACTTCTTATTTCTATGCTCGACTCCATATAATTTGTGTGTGTGTGTTTGACTTTCTCAGTTTCATCAATTCTAATCTTGTTTTTTCCTCTGACTTCTCTCCATTTTTGTCCTTCTCGTTCACCCACGAACAAGAGTTGACCATTGTGGGGTTTCTTATTAGCTATTGTCCTTCTCTCTGGTGACCACACCTCCAAGTCTCCGGCTCAAGTACGTCCTAATATGACTGAGACCCACCTTTTTAAATCCTTCATTGCATATTAATTAACTGCAAATTCTTCACACACATATCATACTTGCGTTGGCAAAGCCACACACACAAATTACCAAATCAATAATAAGTATCTTTTGGTAGACATAAATTATCTAAGAGGTTCTATGACCTCACAATTGTTTTGGAGTTTAGGATATGTCTTATTCATAAATAACATGATTAATAAAACTTAGAATAAAAAATAAAATGGTGATATTAATTATAAGCAAAAAGCTTATGAAAAAGAATGTTCAAACAGAGTCAGACCGCCGTCAAAATTTAGATATGAAAAATAAAATTTTGTCAAAATTCAAAGGCACAGAATGGTATCCAACGTCGTAACAAAATATACTCACTTTCACGATTGAAACTTCCTAAATTTCTTCAAGCAGCCCTTTTGGAGTTTTTTTTTTTTTTTTGGGGAAGGGGGGGTAGATTCTTGAAGAAGGTTCTTTAATGTACATATTTTCATTATATTACTCTGACTTGATGGAGGCATGAGCTCATTTCTAGTCAACAATGATACGCCTAAAATGCGATTTGGAGCGTCCAAAGCATGTTCGAATTTAAATTAGACAAAAATATAATTACAAAATCATCACACGTGACAATCACCTCCGAACTTCAGATGAAGTCAAAAATTGTTTCTAGGACTTCTTCCAATACAATACCAGTGCACAACGACTAGGATAAAGGAAAAATTATTTCGCAATTTTACTCGATATAATTTTCAAGATATTAGCAACACATTGTTTCTTTGGGCATCATCCTTGTTGGCTAATAGTCACATCTCTTTGGGCACCATCCTTCCTGGCTGATAGTTACATTCCTTGTCTTTTGCAGCCAACCAGTGGGCCCCAACTAAATACACGCAAGACTCGAGAAAAATTCCTTACTATCATCCGTTAAGTTAACCATAAACAAGACTGTACATAAACCCTCCAATGTTTTTTATAATTTTTTTATATTGATTGATACTCTTTTAAGGTACAGACTTTCATGCATACAAACTTAAAATAAGCAGCCTGTTCACATATTACTGAATACATTTCAATTTTCAAAAGCCATCAAGCATGTTCGCATAAGCATCCCAAACAAGAACAAATTCGCACATATACGATAGCGGTGGACAGAACATGCATCGAATGAAATGGAATTCACTTCATACGTACATTACTGCAGATTGCCAGTTATAAAATATAAAGGAGATAAACGCGCTGATTTTCCAGCAGAAAAGCATAACTAGCAGTGCTACTACTCTACAAACAGAATTGGAGACCAGTAATTGAATTAATTTTTTGAAGAACGTAGGGGGCACAATTAAACACATTAAAATCCTACACACTGGCCGCTTCCCGCTCCTATCTTCCCCTGTATCTCTTCCAAAATAAATAGTAACAATAATAAGAACCAGTTCATAGATCAATTGCATACTGGAGCCCGAGACATCCATAACAGTGCTTTAAAAACAAAAGTCCCCATGCCCAGGATCCCAAACTTTGTGTCAACATCGAGAAGCAGTAACGATTTTGATCTATTCGAGACTGCTCTCCACTGCAATGCCAAATTGCTATGCACTGTGAAGGTCCTTTGCTTAATCTGGACACCAACCTCATGAGGTGTACTCAAATGGCTGGGGAGGTTGGGGTTCTTCGTCCACTGCCATGGCTGATGCAGAACTCTGCTGTGCTGCTGCTGATCCACCTGCAGCTGAGGTGGTAGTAGAGGAGGGTGAGTCGGTCAGAGCAAGCACCTCAGGCTCAGTAGGCCGCAGGTCTTTAAGAAGGACAAACCCTGAGGGTGCCAACTTAACTGGAACGTATCTGCTGTCTTGCAAAAATTTAATAAATTTCTCCTGAGCAGGAATCACCCTAGCAGGGTTGGTTAGAATCTCAAAAGAAGGCTCAGGCTCTGACTTCTTTCTCGGTGGGCTATCAGCCTTATCAACCTTAAAGGACGGAGGAGAACACTTTAAATTGGCATTAATCATATCACCTATTTCTTCAGTCGGTCACTAAGAAATAGTCATTAGATATATCTAAAAGCAACCAGAAAAGAACACATATCAAGCCTGACTACAGTCCAATTACAAGAAAACTGTAATCAGCTAGTGCAGCTTCTTTGCAGATCAATATTTTACAAATCACCTACAAATCTACAATCTACAAATCAAACTAAAAACCGTATATCTAAAACCGTAGCCCCCCCCCCCCCAAAAAAAATATAATATATATATATATGGGTGTGTGTCTAGATGTAAAACTGCCTTAAATTATTCTGTCAAGAAAACTTAATGCACGAGAGAACAAGCCCAAAATAGAAGGTAGGATGGGGTTAAGAATAATCCACATCATCCTGCAGCCAAAACAACGGTGGAGAAAACAAACAAGCTGTAGCCTACTCCAATTGGCTGCACAAACAAACATGACTGCAAGCAACAAGTAGACAACTTTAACCCACCACCTTTGATCCTCTACATTCCACCAACTAGATTATGCACCCTCACAAAAATCCAATGTGTGCGCTTTCATTCAATGATAAAATAATAAAAAGTGGATTACCTGCATGGATTCTCCATCCTTCTCATTGGAAGACTTTCCTTTCCCTGTACCCGAAGCAACTGAGGATGAATCAGTCCCAGACGATTTCTCAGCATTGGCCTTCTGATCTTCAGCTTTCTTAGCCCTAGCTTTGGCCTTAGCTGATGTTGACAAAACAGCAGTGGGAAGTTTCACAGCAGATGTTGTGGTGGGTACAGTAGTAGGCTTAGGGTATTCAAACAATGAAGGCTTTGCATGTGATAAGAACTCAAACTTTGGAGCCTTCAGGTCATAGTTCAGACCAATAAAAGCCGTGGGTGAAAATGACAAACTTATGAAATAAATAAGAGGGTACCAATACCAAAACTGACTAAAAACTGCAAGACCAACTACCGCAGTAACTTTATCATGTTTTGTCTTGGAAAGCAATCTTATGGTCACATTTCTTCCACCAGCATCAAGAATCCCAGAGGCCAAAATTGCTCCCATCTTGCTCATGGTATCCTCATGCTTATCCAGAATTATTTTCTCTAATTGTCGCCTAAAATAGCATTAAGTCAGTAAACCATCAGACATCCAAAAACTTGTTTCCTCACCGTGAAAAAAGTCAGGAACAGGTTACCTGAATGTCCCAACACGAGCATCACTAGCTTCACTGATCTGGACCATGACCATAGCCATTGCTATAAGGGCACCTTGACGAACAAAATCAACGACATCCGATGTCAAAGGCTCCAGTAGAGATATGGCCTCACTAAGACCAGTACCAGCACAGGAAATGCCCACAGCAAGTGCGGCACCATATCTAACATGGGGATTGTAAGACTCTGATAAAAGAGAAACAATTCGAGGAGTCTGCAAATACAAGACATTGTGACATCTCAGCACAGCCACCCAAGCAAAAATAGAACATGAATATGATGGCAGAGAAAGGACACACACAGTCCAAGATAAACAAATGATTATTAAAATGAGGAGTTCTGGGCATGGCCAAAACTCAAAACGAGATTCCAAGCAAGAAAAATATAAATAGGAACAGCACCAACCTGCTCTGGGTCAGAGTACAAGACAAATCCTAATGCTAGAACTGCAGTCCTTCTGACATCATCGCTCACATCAGACACAGCAAAGTGTAGCAGCTGTCGAATGGCCTTGTTGTTTGCTGTTCCACTGTATGCCAGGGCAAGTGCGTACATACCACCATAACGCAATATTGGATCTTGGTCTCGAGTCATCTGCTCAATCAAGGTGTCTGCTTCTTCTTCTCTTCCATATACTGTGAGAGCTATCCCCAGTGCCAAACCCCTGGAATATTAAATACACATATAAACATCCAGCGAAAGAGAAGTGTTGGTTTAGCACCATGTCAACAGAAATCCATTTACCTAATGATCTTTTCATGCTGCGTCTCATGTGCATAGGCAAGCATCTCACTTGCCTTCTCACTGGCTGTTCCAACCATGAGCAACCCCATGCTTATACCA